ACAAACAAAAAAAACGGTCAAAATAATCTTTCGTTTTTGTTAGTAAGAAGTTTTTCCTTGGTGGCCCGCGTCACTATTTTTTTTTTTTTACTATATTTCCCTGACGTAAAGTTGTATCAATAAACCTTCCCTACCATATCTGTTTTTTAATTGTTCAATGACCTTAGGATGATTCTTTGATGATGGAGTGAAACTTTCAACAAGTTCTCGAGCAGTGGGTTTTTCTATAGTAGCCTGAAACAAATACTGAAACTTCTCCTCATTGTCCAGTTCCTCACTTTCATGTATCTTTTTAAAACTGGTCCAAAACTTATCCAATCACGTAGACTGCCATCATATTTTTTCAGCTCAAGTTTTGGAAACCTATAACTGTTCTTATTGGTTAATCTCGATTCTAATACATTACTTGAGTCCTGTTTTCTTTTAATAATTAAGTTGTTTTTCATAGAAACAACCGAAAGCCATTTTTCTTTATAAGTGTCTACCTCGTCAAGTTCATTTTTTATTAAACTGTCATCTTCAATATGAGTAAACAAAAGTTATTTTATCTGGGTGTCTAGAACAAAAAGTCTCTCCGGTTTGTCCTTCAATTTCAAAAATGATGCTGAAATGTCATATAAGTCGCAATCTTCTTCTTCGGACAATCTGGTAAAATCAGGATAGCTCGAGGTAATCCTTTTCCGTACATTTGACCTTTCTCTTTTTAAATTTTCGAATGTACTCATCTTAAATTCAATGAATTAAGTTACTACTTACCCATTCACCGAAAGGGATGCCAGTATTTATCGTAATACAATAAATTAATAACAATGGGAACTTGAATAAACTAGTGATTGAGTGCAATTTCAGAAAAACAAGCACAAAACTATATTTTAGCAAATTTTACAAAGCAGAGTTTATAAAAATACACAATTTTTCTGACTACCTAATAATTAACATGTGTTTTTCAAAAAAAAATTTTAGAACATCTGTTTTGCCTGCAATTAAAAATAATACATTTCGCATTGTATTCAAACGTAAAAAAATCATACATTCATGATTAACGAATTCTCGAACAATAGTCCAGCATGGCGAGAAAATAATTTCTATTCTAAGTTGACCGGTAAGTGAATGTTGTATGTTGCATGCACCAGATTTTTTTTTTTTACTGACAGGGAAAATTTGAAATAGGGAATCCTTGTTATCCTACATGAACGAGATGTTCCAATGCTGGAATAGCGGCTTGCCATGACAATAGGGCCTGATGGTTTAGTTAATGTGGTAAGATTAAAGGCTGTTACTGCCACTTTGGAGCGACCTGAAAAAAAATTAGTGCCTCTTCCATCTGGAAATACCTGTTATTGATATGTATGTATTTTTCTCCTTTCTTAAATTGATGAGGAGCCATTTTTGGTTTAAATGAATTCTAATTTATTAGCCTATCTTTGAGCTGGATCACTTTTATTTCTACTTTTCCAAAAGTGTAATTTCTCTCTTTGTTTATTGTAAACCAAACAATTTTCCTTTCGTTTGTGCCTTGCCTAGTAATTACCAAATTATGAGTTTGGAATTGTGGTGGGTTGTTACAACCACTCTCTCCCCCACTTTTGGCCAAGCACTTGAATTGAGAGGACCTAAGAATTTGGACTGGAGGAGGGCGACATTCAAAGGTTACTTAAGATTTATCTATACCAGCGTAAAAGGGTGAGTTACTTTTCATAAATCATATAACCTACCACATTCAATATAAAAACGGTACACTGCAAAATAATGTCGATAGTTGCCTCAGTTGAACTCATTGGATTTATTTGACTTGTGCTTCCTCGCTAATGAAGGTAGAGAAGCATGGTATTCGTGCGAGAGGTTAAAAAAAAATTTGGTGCTCAGAATCGAAAATTTCCACTTGCGTTTACCGACTATTGCGATCAGTATTGCGAGCCCTAGTGATTACATTGTCTACATAAATTTGGTCATGACATCTGTGACGATTTTCGAGCTAATAGCTGGACCAATTATTTTTAATGACCTAAATTTTAGCGTTAGATCCCATGAACGCTTTCCCACTACCAAAGGTATTCGTGGGAGAGGTTGAAAAATATTTTATGGTCAGAATCGAAAATTTTAACTCCCGTTTTACGTTTCATACATCAAGGATCAAATTTGGTTTGGTGTCTGCCTGTCGGTCTGTCTGAGTCAAATCGATAATACGGGCATATCACCTAGTACCGTTCTTTCCATTTTCATAAAATTTTCAGGGATTATGCGGATTGGTGCCAAGGTGGTCCCATATCAATTTTATCAAATTACATCCAGCACTTCCGCTTATGCACGCGCAAACGTATTTTTTTAGATAAAGCCATATATCAGAAATGGCTCGTTCAATTTGACTCAAAGTTAGGTGAAAGATAGTTAATGGTGAAAGAATAACGTAATGTCAATTTTATTGAATTCTTTCCACTAATTTCTCTTATATATGCGCAAAAGGGTTTTCCTTGTTAAAAAGCTCCAAAACCGCATGTTTGACTTGGCTCAAATTTGGATTGAAGGTAGGGGGGTAATACGCAAACGTATTATTTGGCAAGCCTATATTTTGAAAACCCGATTTGATCCAAACTTGGATGAAATTTCCAAATATGATTTTTTATAGTATTCCATTTAATAATTAAAATTAATATAAATAATTTTTAACAATATAATGGTAGTGAAATGTGAAAGGCACTGATCATATGCAGAGAGAGTTAGGTTATGACAACATTTTCGTGGGTTTATAAAATTTTAGGTTTCATTAAAAAGTTAATTTATATTGTATTGTTTCGTTGATTTCAAACGTTATTTAGATTTCGTGTGATTTTCAATAAATTTAAATTAAGTTTTAGTCCGAGTCTGTAAAAAATAAAAAATGTATTTGTGATTGTGTTTATTGTATCGAATTTATGTGTGATTTTTACATATATTTTTATATTCCAGCTTAAATAGTGTTGTTCTGACTAAAGAAAAGTATTGGTCTCGTTAAATTTGGAAATACAAAAAGTTTAGTATTTCTTTTTTCTCTTATGGAGTTTTTGTAACATCGATTTTACGAGTGAAAAAATGCCGATTAATTACATATTACTACTGTTAGTGCAAAATGTTGTAAGCATTCTGCTATGATGAAAAATAGCCGAGGGCAATATATTATGATATTATACTAATAAATCATAACGAAACAATTAGTTTTTATGGGTGATTAATATTCAGGACGCAGTCTTTTTTAATTTTTTTATTTTTGCTAACGTTTCAATTCAAACATGTGGGTCATCATCAGGGCTGAAAATGTTTTTTTTAAATTACAGGAACGTATGAATGCCCTATTGAGGAACAACAATTTCTTGATACCGTCTGCAAATAGAGAAATGAAAACGACATTCTTTGAAATAAAATAATGAATTAAGGACGAATCATATTGCAATGATAGATTTTTAAAAAAACATTATGGCGCGGTCCATGGATCTTGAAATGGCTCCTGAAGCCGAAACGTTGAATAAAACATACAGAAGATAAAAAACTGTGTATATTTGGTGACCTTTGGCCTAAAATAGATATATGAAAAATTATTTTTTATTTTTAGTTTGTATAACTATTTTAATATTTAATTTTAATATGTGTATTACAATATTAGTTAAGATTCATGTGCCATCAATCACTATAGTTTATTATTTATAATTAGCGGTCGTATACTATTATATCTCTGATTGTAATTTAAAAAAAAAAAAACATTTTCAGCCTTGAAGATGACCCACATGTTTGGGTTGAAACGTTGGCAAACATAAAAGAATTTAAAAAATACTGCGTCCTGAATATTTATCACCCATGATATGTAGAACAGTTGACTAACTTCCTTCAAGAATTAGTTTTTATTCTTTCCTGTAAAACACTCAATGTTTACAAACGACTTTTTGCACTAACAGTAGTGATATTCATGTTCAGTACGCACTCGATTTTTTTTTCACCCCGAATCATCAAATATGCAATCTGCATATGCGGAACTTTTTCGCATTTTAGTATTCGCTGATGAACAAAACTCATGGATATCAAGCCAGTATATGTTGAGGGATTACTGAATTTCCGAAAAAGGCTTCTCCCAGAGATTTTATTCCCATACGAAAAATTTCAGACCTTGTAATATAGATATTTTTTAGCCAATGCAAACGGTGAGGGAGCATATACTGAACTTCCTTGGCAGACTTTTATGTTATTAAAGTAGAAAGTTGCCTAAGCATGTTCATTAATTTCTAATCTTACACTTACCTTCACATTCCTTTTATCACAGCAACTTCCACAGACCGTTTTAATAATTTTCATGTCAGACTGACTCTAAATTCAAACCCACTTGCTCAAGCTCTATCGACTGCCACAAATCTATACAATCCGCCCCTACTGACTACAGGGGCGCTGGTCAAGAGACTTACTGCATTGAGCTGCTTGCTATCTTATTATTGTTCACACTATAGTGCGGAGATAGTGCTTTCGGGGAAGCTGATGTTGTGAAAGCAATGAAGTTGAGGCGGTGAAGGTATCAGGGCATATTTCCTAGATGGCAGATATAGAAATACCTAAAATATTGCTTATAACTCCAATCCATGGAACAAGGAGAAGAGGGAGGCCAAAGCTAAGATGGTCAGATGGTGTGGCAGGATACGCCCGCAGCACGTTGGGAGTTACGAACTGGATGGCGTCGGTACAATACAGTGAAGATTGGAGGAAACAGTTCGAGAAGAACAAGACCTGTCGGTGGGTTGTAGCGCTTTGAGAAAAAAATATATATTTGTTTAGTTATCGGTTTATATTCAACAAAAGCACGACTTATCTAAAAATACACAAAACTTGGATTTTCTACCATTGTTTACATGAACTTCTTTGTAACTCTTGAGGTCTTCTATCACTCCTATAAAAATTTCAATATACTTTATACATATATACCCCGTATATATAAAGCCACAAAAACACAAAACTTTATAATCTAATTTATGTTTTACAATGGCATGCGCATCTTTCTTATTAGAGGGAAAAACGGAATTTGTTTTTGGAAACCTTTATTATCATTACAGTATATACATATTTTATTTTTATGAAATACAACATTAAATAGAACAAAAATTTTATAGGACAAAAATTAATTTTCGTCAAACCTTTATTTTCTTTAAAATCAACACAACGGTCCTCTCTTCCCTACTCTGCATACGCCCATAATGATTTATCATGAACCAATTGTTTAGATACGGGAAATTAAATGTTTACAAAATAAGATTCAAAAACGGAAAAGTTTACTTGACATGATGATATCTACAACGTCAAGACCTATCAAGATACCACTAGTTATTGAATTCGTTTAGTTCATTAATCTAGAACCCAGTTCTCAGGATTTTGCTCAGCATTTTTTAAGGAAAAATCTTCTGTTCCTATAGACTTAGTTATAATTCTTGTAAATGGGATACAAAGTTCATCATTACAGTTATCGCAACTTTTCAAAATGAACCTGATGTCGTATAATGTTTCTGGTACAAGATCGTAGATTACTCCTTGTTCTCTGACGGTTTCATGGAGGTCAAACCAAGTATCACCAGATCCAGGCTAAACAAAAATATTTATGTTATTAATAATTATAATTGTACCGATTCTTTTTCAAAAATATTTATACACTGAACTATTATTTATCAAAGAAATATGTTTGTTTATAAACTAAAATGTTAATCTTAATGGATTATCGGTATATTGTGCATTTAATTGTAAAAATCTAGTTCATAATCACATTTCTTTTCCATTCGTTCATTTTCCCCTTAACTTCCTGTATTTTTTTTTAATTGAAACATCGTTAATGTTTTTAACTTCTACTATAAAAAAAATCTAAAGAAGTATTATAAGTTATGGTGATTGTGAAAACATGATTTTTCTTTTTCGGTTTTTTCGGTTGGAATTACATACCAGTCTTACCAAGCCTGCTGTATCTCTCCTTGTCTTAGGAAATTTATTTTAATTTATCTCAAGGCAGCTCTATTCCATCTTTCTTGATTTTATCAACCAATCTGCTTTTTGGCCTTGCACGTGGTTTTTGGCTTCTATTGGGGCATTCATAAAATAAGAGAACGCTTTGTCGTTTTTTTAGTTGAATAAAAAATCCATAGTTCGTATTAACTATTTTTGTTTCCTCACTACCGAAGGAATGGAAACATTGTAATCGTGCGAGAGATTAAAAAAAAAATTATGCTCTAAATCTAAATTCCCCACTCGCGTTTTATGTTTCACACATCAGGGATCAAATTTGGTTCGGTTTCTGTCTGTAGTAAAATCGATGTGACGGGAATATCATTGATGCTGGGAATTACGGACTGGATGGCGTATGTACAAGACCGTGACGATTGGAGGAAAAGATTGAAAGATGTCAAGACCTGTTGTAGTGCCATGAAAGAAGAAGATATAAATGGTAACATAAAAACAAATTTTTGTAAGGTTTTTTATTAGAACGATTGAATCTTCTGAATATTTTGACAGTCCTCCGTGGTTTTAAGCCCTTTATGCTCATAAAGGATTTATAAGTACTTTTTGTATGCTAGGTTTGTAAGTTAAGCATAATTTAGGGCGCTCGTAAAATAACCTGCGTTACATAAATTACTAAACTACGATGACTTTCGAGGCAGTGGAAAAGGAACTTCGAACATAGCGTTTGCACGAATATGAGCACTGACATGAATATTGCAACAAATATTTTGCACTTGGCTAGTTTTCTATCTGTAAAATACATTTTGCGTATATATAAATAAAAGATTATTTTTTTTTATTATATAACTATTTCACTAACTTTTATTTGTACTCCATATAGTTCACTATCTACCGTATTAGGGATTTCAAATGTAACGCTGTTAGATGTTAATGTGACAATGGTGGGTGGACCTACAAGAAAGAATAATAATTACTATCGTATTTAGAATAAATAATTATCACTTTAATAGATTAATTAATAGATATTAACCTGGCGAAAGATCAACTTTGTTATCATCTTCATAATCATCATCAGCATCTAATATACAAAAGATTATTATAATAAAAAAATTTATAATATATCTATTAAAATAAATAAATAAATGTGTGTGTAAATGCAATAAATAAATAAAACTGAAGTTCAAAAATAACTTTAAAAACCAATGAAGTTTTACGTTATTAAACAACAACCAACAAGCAAACGAACCGGTTGTTATGAACATTTTGAACATCTAGAACATATGTGAACATCAGTAGCCTTTGATGTTACAGACTGGCAGTTTATTCCGTAAGGCCAGGCCGTAGATTTTTAAAAAAATTAGAAAAGGGGATGTTTGTCTTGGAAACAGTCTGATTGCTCAGTCTTCTACCTCCACAACTAGAAGGCAGATGAGACCGCTTTGCACATAAAAATATGTAATTTGGTTTTAACATTAGTATATCTTTGAGTGAGTTAACCGAAACAAAACATATTTCACACAATATTTATGTTTGGTTAATTTTTGATAATTTAATTTAATAAAGCCATTGAGACTGAGATAATTTTATTTGTGTATTTTTGAATCCTTAGTGTGAGTATACAGGGTGTTTTAGGATTAAGTGATCAAACTGCAAAAATGAACTAAGGACTTTAAAATAACCAAAAAAATCCTTATGAAGGTATGTCCGCAAATTCTATGTTTAAAAGATATTCACACCTAAAGATTTTTGTTGTTATTAATTATTTACTTTATATGCAATAAATAAAACCTATATATTCGTTTTAACTAGTTTATTAATTAAATGTAAACATTAACATTCATATTAAATGTTGTTCAAAGTGCAGGTATGTCACCAAACGCTTTGTTTAGGAGATGGAATATATATAATATTAATATGGTCTTTTCTCTCTTATCTCTAATTGTATAATAACTATTGGCAACATAAAGATTAGTACTATTTGGAATTAATATTGGGAACTTTCAATGGTATTTATCAGTTTGTAAGAGGCTTTCGCAGAGTACTTATCATTATGCCTTCTATTTATACTAATGGTCATATACCGATATGGTGATTATATTCGGTTTTTACAATGGTAATGCTAATTAGTGAATATGCCAGGTGATTTCCAAATAAATGATCACCAAAGAAGTCTATCTTTAGCTCCACGTTTCAACGTCTTAGAAAAACTAGTACATTTTCCATAATACCACGTTCTGATGGTATGTTGGCCCCTTTAGGAAATGAAGAAAGTATTGCGACCATATCACAATATTTGATGATAATATATTTGGCCGTGTACAGTATAGAGAACTCTCATTGCAGATGGACTTCACCTATATCGTTATCAACTGGTACAAAATGGATTACCATTTTTGCCAAAGAAGATTTTTTTCAGATTAGTGCTTAAATCAAGTTGAGCATAATTCAAAATTTTCAGGAAAAGCTCCCTGGATAGATGGACCTTTACAAGACGAGGTATCTTCCATCAGAAAAATAATCATCTCTGGTCGCAGGAAAATCCCCATGCATTTCGTGAGCATAATTTTCAACACCAGTTTCAGTGCACTGTACGATTGGGAATAATAGACAATATTTTAATGGGTCCGCATTTCTTGCCGCCTCAACTCAATGTGGGTATATTTCTGGCATTTCTTAATATTGATTACTATGATTTTGTTGAACATATTCCACTACAACTGAGAAGGGACATGTATGTGGCTTCAATTAGATAGTTGCAATGCACATTACGGAAAAAGTCCAAGACAATGGCTAAATTTTAGTTATCCCATATCGATGAATTGGCCGTGCAGGACCAGTGGCTTGGTTTGCGCGCTCTCCATACCAGACATCACTGGATTTTTTTTTACTTCCCCCAATTGTACCGTATTTGTGATCAAACTGAATAATATATTTTTTTATTTATCCTAGAAAAATAAATAAAAATTATTACAATAATCATATTAACAATAACAGTTATCAACACAAACTTGCTCCAGTTCCAGTAGTCTCAGAAGGCCAAAATTGTATTAATGCGTTAATTTTTCAAATACCCCGTTCAAATTTAAGGTTTCCAATATTTTTTCCATTTTTTAAATTTTTCCAACCACTGTGCGACATAGTAAAATAACAAAGTAAATAGTTACACAAACATATAAATCATTTTATCCAGCACAATGAACGTTCAATTTAATGGAATACAAACATTAAAGTAATCATAAAATAAATGCTTTTACCTTTCATTTTTCTGAGGAGTCTTCCATTAAAATCTGAAACACAAAAAGTAAATAGACAAATAACATTATATTATATGTTTATAATTTTATTTGTAGTTAGCAAAGATTAAAGTTATGATGATATAAATGTTTTTACTTCCATATTTCATTGAGCGGTTTCCGTCAGGACCTGAAACACATAAAGTGAATAAAACAATAACGTTTTATTTATAGGTCATAAAACTCGATAAAAATAAAATTAATATTGTAATTAATTCCGAATCGCCAAACTAAGGTGGTGGCTGGATTCAAGATCACTTAAAACACACTGTACAAGGAATCGACAAGAAACATCCCGAATGAATCCAAAAGCAGTTAACGTTTTCTTAGGTTAAGTCGAAGCGAGTCTCTCTTCACGTCTACTTCTTTTTCCATATAAACAAATTGGTTTGTATGGATAATTGGCATATTATATTGGCCACTGAACAATCGGAAATATGTATATCTAACATATTATGAGAGGCAGAAATTCGTTTTTTTTTTTTTGTTTTTTTTGTCGATCAGCCTCATTGACAATAATAAACCTAAATGCCATCAAAGTGCGGTTAGAGTGATTTTTTTTTCTAGGTTTATACAGAACTTAAAAACTTTTTAAAACATGTTGGGGTTTGTTATTCATATTATATACTTTTTGAGTGGTGAGTTTTTTTTCCACCGATTTTTCTCTTACTTTTCTGGAGTACATACTTTTTTTCCGTCACTGAATGAGATGATAATCTTGAATATAACGAATCATTATTGGTTTGATAAGGTATTAACACAGAAATGGCAACCGACAGAAACAAATAAAATTTGAGAGATAATATAATATTTGAATTTAAAAAAAAACCGACTATAGAAATCAAGAAACCCTATCCTAATGAAATGTACTTTCATGTCCAATGTAAGATTGATGGGGAAATCGGTGGCTACATTAACATTTAATGTTTAAATTCCAGGAACTTCTGAATGGAGATGAAAATACAGAGAGGAATGTGCTGCAGGGACGTACACAAAATAAATAAATAAAGTATAACACAAAATAAATTATTGAGTGTTTAAGATGATGTGGAATAAAAACAATAAAAGCTCAGGAAATGATGGCATGGACCTTTCGGATGTTGACATGGACATACGAATGAATTGAAATCTATTTGCCAGCAGCTGTAGTGTGTAGTGAAAGGCACCTGAAATGCACAACTAATACACTAAGTTTAAAAATACGTAGCTGTCAGTTTCCCTAACAATATACCAAGGTGCATAAGTAAGTACAGAAGAATATCCCTTTATTACGGGGAATAGCATTTCTCGGTTTTTGTTGTCAGGTTTTTTTAAAGTTCAAATATCGATTTATTTTAACTTTTTTAGTTTTTTTTTTTGTATTGGGTCGATCTCCTTACTTCCCCGATCCTTAAACAACTTCCCAATAAAGCAATCGTATTCCTCACATACCTATATAACTGTACCCTCCGCACAACTCACTTTCCCCTCATATGGAAACACTGCTTAATCATCCTCTTCTCTAAACCAGGTAAACCTGTTAATAAGACCTCATCCTACAGATCAATATGCTTGCTCCCGATCCTCTCAAAAATCTTTGAAAAAATCCTTGTCAAACGCATCCTTCTCACACGCATCCTGCCCATTCTCGAAACCCACAATATCCCTTCCCATCAATTTGGTTTCCGCTCAAGACATTCAACTGTTCATCAAGGCCTTCGCGTTGTTGACCAAATATCCTCTGCGCTTTAAAACAAGCAATATTGAATTTCTGGACGTAGCGCAAGCTTTCGACCGGGTGTTGCATGAAGGTTTGCTTTTCAAGCTTAAAACCTGTTTATCTCAATCCTTGTACCTATTACTCAAATCTTACCTCTCTAATCGTTCCTTTCAAGCCCGCTGCGGCACAGAATTATCCAGTTGAGTCTGGTGTTCCACAAGGCAGTGTCTTGGGCCCTCTTCTACTCTACATACTCTTCAACACCGACATTCCAACCAATCCCGATACCATTCTAGCAACATTCGATGACAATATCGCCATCCTATCATCCCATACAGATCCTGAAACAACATCCTTAAACCTTCAAAGACATATCTCCTTAATTGAGCAGCGGTGCTACAACAGCTTTAGAACTCAGTGCTCTTCAATGTGACAAAATGTATTATATCTCAATAAAAAGATTTTTTTTTTAAGTATTGGCAAATATTTAAGTAGTCAACGCATGTGGTCAAGAACTTACACATAACATGATATAAAACCAAATCAAAAGTGAGAATACTTAAATCATAATATTTTTTATATAATTATTTTTAACTCAAATCGTTAAAAAAAATTAATCAGATCTCAGTGTGTTATTAGAACATATTTAAAATAAAACTCGGCTAATTCGTTCACTATGTATATACCTCTTAACGGATAGATTACGTACATTTGAGTTCAAAAAAATAACTGTCTCATAGGCGGTGATGACCCTAGTTTTTTACGCCTTAAAGCCTAAACAAACGTATATTTTAAACAACTAGTTGTAAGTGTTTAGAGACCAAATTATTTTTAAAAAAACATCTGCCAAGTAAGTCAGTATAGCTTCCTCGTCAGTTTTATTGGGTAAAGAACATTTTTAAAATAACCTAATTCGCAAATATAGGTGTTCTTATCTTGCAGATGTGAAGTCGGTGTTTTTGCACCCCTTCAGAAATCTTCAGGACACGACCTCAGGTAACGACGCCTATCTGAACTAGATCAGTTGGAAGCTATTACCATCTTTCTACCCTTGATCATCTCTAATTACTTTTAGTTCATAAAATATGTTTCTAATTTATGCTATGGATTTAAATTAACCAAATCAGCCTACCTTTATACATAGCAGAATAGAAATTATTTCCTGCCAATGTTACGCTATTACAAAGTTTTTGAAGTGCGTTTTTAAGAAGAGCTTAAACTTAATCCTTTACAGCTACTTTGTAACAATTCATTAGTGGGATTTAAAAAAACACAAACCCTGTTTATTATATTGACGGTAGACAGTAAAATATCTATTTATCCAACTGATTTTGTAAACCATATAACTCCAGTTTCTGAGCTACATATATACAATGAGAGATTAGAAAGTTTATTCTTATATTTAACCTATTAAAATACACTTGTATATATAATCGGTTACACTTTTATTTATTAAACTCTTATCTTTCCATTATAAACTTTACTACAATGAAGTAATGAGATTTTCGCTTCGGAAGTTTTTTTTTAATGTAGTGGATCGAATTTGTTAATATTGGAACTCACTTGATTATTTGTTTATCAATCCCTAACTTTTTCCAAATTTGGGTCAATTAGAACGAGAGATTATTGAAAAATAAGTGTATCAAATGTAATTGTGAAAATGCGTTTGGGCAAATTTAGGAGAATTGTTATACCAGTAACCACATCTCTTCAAAGTTTCAGCCTATTGGAACATGCGGTTTATAAAAAAATGGGCAAGATAATATATTTTCACGTAGTTAACCTAAGTATTAGATTGAATTTGATGAAATTGATATAGTGCCATCTAGGCACCAACCTCCACAATCTCTGAAAGTTTTATATAAATTAGGTTAACGGCAAAAGGTGAAATGCCCTTCACATCGATTAGACTAAAGACAGATCGATAGACAGACCCCAAACCAAATATTATCCTTGATGTATGAAACGTAAAACTGGAGTGAAAATTTTCGATTCTGAGCATAAAATATTTTTTAACCTCCAGTACGAATACCTTTGGTAGTGGGGAAAGAAAATTCATGGAATCTAACTGGAAAATTTAGACCATTAAAAATAAATATTGGTCCAGCTGTTAGCTCGAAAATCGTCATAGATGTCATGACCAAATTTATAAGACAATGTAATCACTAGGCCTCGCAACAATGATCGCAATAGTAGTGAAACACGAGTGAAAATTTTCGATTATGAACACAAAATTGTTTTGTGAACACAATGCTTCCCTGCCTTCGGTAGTGAGGAAGAACAAACCAAATAAATCCAATGAGTTCAACTGAGACAAGTATCGACATTATTTTGTAGTGGACTGTATTTATATTGACCAATAAAAATAAATATTGGTTCAGCTGTTAGCTCGATAACCGTCACAGATGTCATGACTAAATTTATGTAGACAACAATCACTGGCTCTTGCAATAGTTATGAGGCTCTGAAACTATATAATGAGTTGATGGCCTTATTTGGAGCAGCTGGGTTTTAACTCACAAAATTCTCCAGTAATTCTGAAAAAAATACTTTCTGTTATACCCGAGGATAGTCAAGAAGTTCCGTTGTGCCTGGATGGAGATTCCTCGACCATCAAGGTTCTGTGTTTATTTTGGTACCTATTATGATCCAAAAAAATTTCATTGAAATTCGATACCCCACGTCGGTAACTCCTCCTTGTTAGTAGGACACTATTTAGTTCCTCGAGTTTCCATTTACAGTGTACTCAGCGATCTTGAAACAAGCCGTCACCTTGGAGTATTGATTCGGAATCTAGTTTCTAAAATTTCATTTATGATGTAATTTTTCATCATTAATTAATTTCTTCAAAAAAACTTGGGTGTCACTAAGTTCTACTACTGTAAAATTAAGTGTATATTTTCATGCCTTAGTAATATTTTTTTTACTTGTTTTTATCTATAATTGAAAATTATATTTATCCTATGTTAATTTTCATCGATTATAATTTTAGAACTCACCTACACAAGCGTATATTATAAAAACGTAACTCGCATTAATCTCAAAGGATTTACATGGTTCAGTTGCGTCCGTCATTGTTCCAGTACATTCATTTTTGTCCATGCAACTAAATACAAACAAAATAAAAATATAAAATGCTAAAAAATATCTAAAGATTAATAATAATTTTCTAACTAATTGATCAACTTATTTTAAAATTTCATAGCAGTGAAATGAAATGAAAAACAATTTTATTCCTACATAGAGAGAGATAAATGTAAACTTTATAATCATTTTTGATTGATTTAATAGTTAGAAAGCAGTTTTGAACATAGAATTATTGCAAACATGTTCTAGGCTGGGAAAAATAAAATTAAACCGTTTACATATTTTTTTTTATGTTTTAGAGTTTTTGAAAAGTTTGAATAGTTGTGATTAGTAGTGTCAAATTGAGTTAATATTTTTTATTGTATTTAAAATTTATTTTTTTCTTATATTGCAAACCAAAAAAGATGTTTTGAGCAGAAACTTTTTTTTCTTTGAGTAATATTACATTATTTCCTAATAAAGGACATTGGTGATTATAAATAAACTAATTAACACGAGTTAATTCACACTATACTCACAGGAAAAATAAATGAATCGAGTGAATTAAAAACAAAATAATTACTAAATCCATTATTTTAAAAAAAAAGAAACATTTATAATTGTCTGTCATTTTCTGAAAGTAGAGAAAAATTCCATTTTCGTTTTATAATTAACCATTTCAGAATGTAATTTGCTATAAAGAATATTCAAATATAAAATATAAAAGAATTTTATAAATAATTATAATACTGAGACATAATAAATCGTAACAAAGAACCCAAGAAACCCAGCCGAGCTTGACCGAAAGGTTGTAGTTCGTGTTTAATAAAATAGGTGATCCGATAATATTATTATTACATATACATGTACCGTTTTCATAAATGATAGCGTTGGCATTATTTGATATTTAGTTTAGATTATAGCTAATTAGATGTTTATATAATAATATAAAAATTATTATGTGTATATCAATGTTCTCTCGCCGTAACTAGTTAAGTTAAAAAATGGTCCTCTCGTCTTCTGTAAATTCAGATCATCTTCCAAGCGTTGTAAACACCATGAAGAAGTTTTTAAATTCGGAGTTTCCGTCTAGAATTTTTAGTACTTTAAGTTACCAACATCTTCACGGTCTTTAGAACACTTGAAGGATAATTTACAGAAGTCGTGAGTACCCTTTTTCGACTTAACTAGTAATCGCCAGAGACCATAAATATATACCAATGTAAATAAATAACTAAAACGAAATATGTTTAAATATAGCTGCCTTCTTTATCAGTGTTACTCTGTCACAGTAAATATATTTCACAGCACTATTTATTATAATCAATAAGTAATAAATATTAAATTCTAAGTGGAAAAAAGCAATTTTTCCACTTAGAAAGTATTGAAACGGTCCGAACAAATGGAAATCGGCTTGCGCAATATCGGGCGAGTATGGTGAGTGATGTTCTATCAATTCATTAACTTTTTCCATTGTTCGTTTTACGCAGTGCGATCTTGCATTCTCCTGTTGGAGAATAACGCCTGTTCTGTTGACAATCCAATTGTTCACAATAGAGGTCTGCATTCACAGCTTGTTCAGGTTACACTACTTTAAAATGAGGACGCCGTGAATACTCTATAACCTAAGGTTCTTTTAGCGGTGTAAACCTGACTAAGCAGTACTTCGTGGCTATTCTTTTGGAAAGGAAAAGGATCCATTTTTCATCTGCGACGATCAAACGATCAAAAAATGTTTCTGAAGCAATAAGTTGCCTATGGAGGTTTCTTAGTCTGCTGCAAAAGATCTTGGATAGTCGACCAAGGTTGGTTAAGACTTTTTGACAATTCATCGATTGTTTGACAAGAATTAGCTTCAACTACTGACCTTAACACGTCATTGTCTGTCGTTGTTGGTCTTCCTGATCGATAAGAGTCGGAAAAATCAAAATTACAGAGTTTGAACTTGAAACGCCACCTTTGGCATTCACCAACGTCTAAAGCCTGGACATTACCTTTAGGTATTTGGCAAGCCATTTAAAAAAAAAAATTAATTATTTGCAACTAAAGAAGTCACTATAACCTTTGAATGTCTTTGCTACGACATAGATGGACAATGAGCTGCCAAATTACAATCAAATAGTGGCACGCTCAAAATGACGTTACTTTCCGGTCCCCCTAATAAATTAGACGGTTATGAAAAACATGGTAAATAAAAGATGTGTGCACCAGATTTTTTTAATTTAGCTATGAAGTATAAGATTTCATAAATAAAAAATAGTTAATCCTACCTTTGTTCAACTTCTTTCATCCTTAGCTCTGCGACACAGTCTTCATCCATCCGTGGGACATGCATTTTCGTCAGAGGATTGCACATAAATGGGTGTGACCTACCGTAATATGCCCAATCTATTGCGATTCTATGATGATCTGGGCATTTGATTTGATAATTGGGACCACACGTCTTGATGAACATTGGGTCTTGTCGAACTGTAAGTACATTTTTTTCTAATTATAAGGTAATTTCATATAAACAAGTAATTTATCTAACTAATAATTCGATTTTTGATTAATAATTTTTTTTCTGTCTTGTTCAGGACAGAGATATCAATTTAATTTTATAAGGACTTACCATGACTAGGATATATTATTACCATGAATAAGATCGTCAAGCGATTGAATCTATCAGTACTATTATGTGTCTGAACCAATGCACTGGTTACGCCTATTAATGCATTTTTAATTATATTCACAGTTCACACAAAATATACAGATTAATAAAGATATCACACATTTACACACAGAAGCAACTAAAGTAGCAAACATTTACTGCGCATGGGTGCTATGGGACTATGGTTAGTGCCAAGTACAACCTGGGTACTAGATGTTACTATTACGAAGCCGAAAAGTACACACTTGTTTTTTTCCAACTCACCTTTTGTTTTATCTAATTGTTCGGATTTAGGGAAAAACATCATACTGACATCGCCCTTCTAGTCAATTTTGAGGACGCAGAGAATAAAATAAAGAATAATAAGCCATCTGGATCATGGAAAATTGTACATTAATGTACGATCATCCGTTTTTACTTTGTATTCATTGTACTTTTAACCATTATGTCTCAATATTATCTAATATTTAAATGTAATTTTCTTACGATATGCACTAATTATAATTATAATTATTCATTTTTGTTTCTTCTCTATATTTCTAAATTAGTTCTGCAATGTCTGGTCTCTTATTTTTATAATCACATTTAAATTCTATGTACGTTTTACTTCTTTCGTTTTTGTTTTTGTTCACATTTTAGTTCTATCTATAATTTTTTAACTATATTTTATATATATAATTTATTAGTTCATAGCTATCGTATTTTTTCTTGTATCTATCAATATCTTCAAATTTTATATACAGTAATATTGAAAATTTTGTTTTGCTTTTAATACTTACCCCCTCACTACTCCCCAACTAGGTTAGCAAATTTCACCAAGATTTCTCTATCCATGTCTTCCAGTTTTAAATAAAACTCCTTGCTGAACACACCTGTAAGTCTCTATTTTTATTCTTTCATTTTTATTTATTTATTTTTTCTTTTCTTTCTTCACATCCCTTTATGTGCATTATTTCATATTATTTATCCTTTTCTTCCAATCTCTCCTTGATTTCTGTAGGAGTATGTTCATAATTGCATATATTATATTATTACACTAAAATAATTTTTACCATTCATTTACTTCAGCATAGAATCTTGTTACTTAGTTTACTCTGTATATATAGTTAATTGTTCTTTATATTTCAATGTACTTCCTGTTTATAATTCCAAAAAGTTTATTCACCCGGTTTATAATTTTATTTAAATATTATCTAACTTCCACAATATTCTATATATTTTTGTATCTTATCTGTTGTAGCCCTGAAGAAGACCATGGTCTGTTTTGATATAAAAAAATTATTTACCAATACCTACCGAAAAAATGTAATCAAAATAATTGAAAACTACTGGGATATAATAGAACCGTATACCGGAATTAAAGGGTTTCATGGAAGATAAGGATTCAAATATTTCAGAAGCTAAAAATTTGACCTGCATACTGTATGCGAGGGAAATGTTATATAATTTATATAATTATATAATTTATAGCTATCATATATAATTTATATTTCATATTAATGAATTTATTATTATTTATTATTTGCCTTGTTGCTGTTCTCACTTCTATTGTGTGGTCTAAAGGACACACCTTAGGTTTTTTCTTAATCTTAATCTATAAACATAATTGATTATTTTTTACCTCCAATACATTGGTAAGTAATATTTAAATGCTTCTTTTTACCGAGACATGGGTCACCAAACCAATCGGTATGAGCGTGTATTTTGCATTCATGCATGTAGTCACATCTGAAACCCAAATAATTTTGAACTAAGAACAGCTTCAATTTTAATTTTTAAGTTTTTTTTCCTACAGCTCCAGATACATTTAGTCATAAGATAGCTTTTAGTTATTATGAAACAGATAGTTCACATTGAATGTGAATTATTTCACTGATTAAAACATAATACCTAGCACTAACAATATCTGTAGTATAGTTTGATAAATATGATAAACAGTTGACACCATCATTTTCAGCTGCTTTTCTTCCCCAATGTGCATTAATGATTATTATGGACGTTTTCTTATCACATTTAATGTATTTACTAGTGGACTGCTCAACAGTAACGGTCTCGTACTGAATTGGATCTAAAAATAATAATAAATAAATAAAGAGGTGAATATAACTTCAATATGAAATATCTTGTTTATCCACAAAAACTATTATAGTTAATAATATGAGTAATGAGGATGTTAAATAACTTTTGTGTGCGCCACACATCAGTCTGACTCAAACACGCCCATTTATCTACTCATCCAATAAGCAATGCCTCTTTTACTCCAACCTAAGCTTGACGGCCATTGAAGATGGTTAACAGTAGAAATGAGATTACAAAGAAATGGTAGATGAGTAAACTGGCACACTGAATCGCTCAAGTGATTCATTCCCCTTAACATTGATGGATCAGGTACTCACAGTAAAACTTGAAATTTTCATTGTTTTATTTAAGCCAAAGCCTTCTTAGTGTTTACATTAATTTCACAACTAATCCAATTAATGTATATGTCCCTCCTATTAGAGGTCAAGGGAGCTCGATATTGTTCATTTAATTCTGTTTAATTACTTTAACTTACTTCACATGTAATATATAGCACGGGCGGATCTACGGGGGGAAGGGGGGCTTTGGGCCTGATGCCAACCCCAAAATAAAATTTAACTATGTTTTATGGAAAAAAAGTATTAAAACATTATCTCTTAAACTATTATTGTCTCTGTAATTATATTTAAAAGGACTTTAGAAATCACTTAAACACCATTTCAAATAGGCAGTTAGTTTTTTTCTTTTTTTCCAAAGTAAATATCGTTATTTTTATGAAAAAAAAAGCTTTCGGGCTCAAGCCTCCACCCCTCCCCCCCAAAAAAATTAAATCCTGTATCCGCTAGTGATATATAGTAAGGGGAAGTATTGCGATCGTGAACATTTTTGAATTTGAGTTTTCAACGAAAATATACGTTTGTTATTTTTTACTGAAATTGTGTCAGCTAAATACCTGCACTGAAATGTGTACTAATCCTACCGTCAGTACTGTAGTTATTTGTTTGTAATTATTTATCTGTAGTTGTGGACAATAAAGACAGTTTAAAGAGATTTGTGCCCTTGAGGGATACCTTTCGACCTACTCCTGCAACAAGATGATTTCAAATTTAAAATTAAGAGAGTAGGCTCGGCGTTTTGTGTATGACAATTCGGAACTCAGGAATTAGAAGAAGATTATCGTGAAGGATAAATTAGATGAATTTAACCTGTAGGCAATAAAAACAAAGGGCCAAATTTTTATTATTTACAATTTACTCACCATATTGACATGCGAAATTCACCATTAAATATTTGTTAAAGTATACGCAAGGTTCACCGAACTCAGTAATGGTTGTATTAATGTAACAGTGACTTTTAAACTGGCACCTAAAATCGAAAAGAAAAAAATACAATCAGCATAATATTGTATTAAAAATTGCATATATATATATATATATATAATCTAATGAGGGTGAAGTGATTATAAAAATGATGATGAGATTCTAAAAATTAGAATCTATAGAAGCATTGTGTAACCTACAGTTCCTTATGGTTGCGAAACGTGACCGCTTACATTAAGGGATGAGCAACGACTTAAAGTTTTTGAAAATAAAGTATGGCGTAGAATATTCAGACCGAAGAAGGATTCAGACGCTTACACAACGCCGAATTGCGTGAAGTATTTTTTTTTTTCTTTTTGTTCTTCCCTACCTCGCCTTTTAGGCTATACGGGATTTTCCCGGGCCGGGGGGTGAGGGCGGGGAATTTAAAATCCCCTCCGGCACCGGGACGCGAACTCGTACTTTTTATATCATCTCAAATCTCTGTTATCCGGTTGCCAGGCAACTAGCGGTGCTGTTACACACGCTTTAGCCTATTCGGCCACCCCGCCCCCTGATTGCGTGAAGTATATCCGAGTAATATAATTGAGGTCATTTCATCCCGGCGTATCAAATGGGCCTGTAAAATTGTTTGGCTTAGTAACGAGAGAATTCCTAAACGGTTAATCTTTACTGTACCGAATGGTAAACGTCTGAGGGGTAGACCGAAGCGAAGGTGGGAAGATTGGATTAAAGCTGATCTGAAGGGACTAGGTTTGGACGGCGAACGGTGGAGAGAGGTGTGTAATGAGCGATTGGTGGTGTCGGCATCGAACCTTCGGGTTTGCTTAGCCTTTTATTATTATTATTATATTATTGTATTAAAAATTGCGTTGATATAATTTAATAAAGGTGAAATGACCATAAATGTAAATTTTTTACTTTTCCACTTTAAAACTTTACAAGGGAAAGTTCAATAACTAACGGCAGTACAATCCATAATAATTTATAGATTAAATATACAGATGTAATTTCAAATCTCTCTTGGTATAAATAGCTCAGAGACTGGAGTTGCCTTGTTTACAAAAACAAATTGCCTACAGTCGATATAATAAAGTGGGTTAGTGTTATTTAAATGACCTTAATGAGTTGTTACATGTTAGCTGTAAGGTTTAAGGTTTAGCTCCGTTAAAAAGACACTTCAAACACTTTATAATCGGGCAACAGTGCCTAAAAATAAATTTTATTCGAACAATGAAAACGAAGATTTAATATTTAATGTAATTTTTTAATATTATTTTGAGGTATTTTTCAAAACAAATAACTACAGAACCTTGTTTTTCTTTATATTCAATACAATTATTAAATCTAAATTTGAGAGCATGTCTAGTTATAGAAAATATTAGTAGATACCTAGAAATTGTTCAGACATTTATACATATAAAAATAATTTTAAACATAATTTAACTACCGTCAGACAGACCATGGTGGTTCAAATTAATACGAATTTATCGTTAACAATGACTGTTTAAAAGTTGTAAGAAATAATAAATAAATAAATAAATAAATTTTCCGTAGAATATCGGAGCTTTTTTATATCGCAATCTTTGTGAAAATTTCATTTTAGAAAACCTATTTTTGTTTTCAAAAAGGGAAAAAGATACAAAGTAAAATAAGTTTTATACATTATTATATATTTTTCTAGTTAAGCAGAATGACAGTAAAGTTTCAAGAAAATAGTATGAACCGCCCGCTCAAACCAAACAATTATACAAAACATACAAATCGCATGAAATTTCATAAAATGACTGGGTTTTCAATTGAACTATTAAATAAAAACAGTGAAAAATGTGTATTCTTCCAATTGAAAATATTCTCAACATTTCCAGAAGGCATCAATAAAACAGTTCATATATATATAGTTTTTGCAGTTATAAATATTTTTAAAAAATTAGCTGATGTCGCGAGTTTTCTCTTACTTATCCTACTTAGCGGCTGGGTGAATACTAGTTTTACTAGATATTCTTCACTTTTTCCACATTACAGTAAACCTGTAATGGTTGAATATATTTCTATGTGTACCCTCTTATCAACAACATACGAATTAAGATGTATAATTATTTTAGGGAACATAATACACGTAAAATTGTATAAATTAAACTTCAAGGGAATATAATAAATAAATGGAATTAAATAAACTCACAAAAAGTAAAATAAAAGTAATTAAGTACAATAAATAAATAATTATAGATAAATAACAATTGTAAGAAATTAGAGATTAATATAAATATGATATTTTAAATAGAAAAGAATTGAATAATTTAAAAGTCAAGGGAATATAATAAATAAATGAAATGAAATAAACGCACAAAAAGTAAACTAAAAGTAATTAAGTCCAATGAAAGAATAATTATGGATAAATACAAGTGAAAGAAATTAGGGATTAAATAAAAATATAAATATGATATTCACAATAGAAAAGAAGATGGCCCCGAGATCTCCTATTGTAAATAAATTTTTTTTTAGAGTATTACCAGTGGGTAGTTTCTCATGTTTTTAAGTTAAGTATTTTCATGTTTTTATTTTTTGTTATCACATTTACTGAATGTATTTTTTCTTAGCACAGTTGTAAATATCATAAATAAAAAATAAAAAATACAATAGAAAAATCAACTGTTTAACCTATTATTATTATATTAAACAACAACAGATTAATTACTAAGTTCAGAAAAGTCAATCCGGTCCACTTATGCATCAAATTCTGAAAAAGTATTTTGAATCAGACCCTTTTTTTAAGGTTCTGTTCAACATTGGTATCCGTTCAACATAACTGCTAGAAACCAGTTTGTGTCTGTATTTGTCCAGTCCAGAACAGTCATATAAGAGATTATGTATGTTGGCTCACTGTTATCGCCATATTTGCAAGTTATGTTTTATCAGTTAATTTCAATGCGATTAAATAGCTTTTTGTTGCTAAGTGCACTGTCAAAAATTGTGTTGGATTGTAAGATTAAATATTCTTGTCAGTGAGCAATAGACTGTAATATTCATAAGTGGATCATATCCTTAACCAAGCTAAAGTGTAATTTAAACTGTTTTCCTTCTGATCAATAGTTGTTAACAGAACTGAAGACCACAGTTGCAAATATGTCAAAAGAGCAGTGCCATCTAGGTTTGATTTTATACATCCACATGAACACCTCCTTATCACCTATTTAGAAATAAGGTTTTATTGTCCCTACTCAGGAATAGAGAAGGTCTGTTACCCCCAAACAATATTAATTAATCGATTAAAATATCAGTTACTAATGAAGAATATTTAATAACATATTTACCTTTCAAACACTCGGATAAACGTGTCGTCCACAGTTGTACAATTTTTGTACATGTCTGGGTAAGTTCCGCAGGTGCTTTTGTCAAATCTGCCCCATAACGCATCATTTATTTCTATATACTTTGAGGTACCGCATGTTAGTTCCAGGATTGAGTCTTGGCATACAATCTTCCACTCACCTTAGAGTAAAAAAGGTCATTAGAGAACCGTAAAAATGGTTATTATAGTGCAAGATAAGATTCACATAAAACATTTGTGGGCTGTTAATTACTTTATTTTTTATAGTTTGTACGAAATTTTAAAAATTTTAATAGGCATTTTATAAGCGTAAAAATGGTTATTTTTATTCTATTTCGAGCATGTTTCTCTCGCTTTTTACATTTTAGACATCATGGAACTAATTTGAATTTGTTCCTGCTTGTTTGTCGTCAATTTTCTGTGAAATGAATAACATTTTTAATCTGATTTTGATGCACTTTTCATAGATTTTAAAGATTAGCTCCTGTATATCAATTATATTGAATTACGATATTACGATAATTTTACCACTTCCAAATTATCCGAACATTTTCTCTCCCTCAATCATTCATTTGATTTCGATAAAACATCCATTGCCACAGTTCTCAACCATGACAAACGACTCATTTCTGAAACCCTCCACATCCAACTTCAACCAAAGACAGTGAATCTAAGAACTGACAAACAGAACCTTTCTTTAGCCTATTCCCAAATTCTGAATTTATTAAAACATCCATAGTTATATTCCTTTCCTTTTTGCTGACAACTTCCTTATCTCTCTCTCTCTCTCTCTCTCTCTCTCTCTCTCTCTCTCTCTCTCTCTCTCTCTATATATATATATATATATATATATATATATATATATATATATATATATGTGTGTGTGTGTATGTGTGTGTATGTGCACATATATACATGCACATATATAAATATATACTTATATATATATATTTATATATGTTTTTATATTTATATATAAACATATTATTTATATATATTTATATATGTTTTTATATTTATATATAAACATATTATTTATATATGTTATATATATATATATATATATATATATATATATATATATATGTGCACATATATAAATATATATATATATATATATATAACATATATAAATAATATGTTTATATATAAATATAAAAACATATATAAATATATATAAGTATATATTTATATATGTGCATGTATATATGTGCACATACACACACATACACATTATGAATAATATAATATATATTTTTATTTCAATTATTCTCCCTATTACTCAATAGTTATTTTTCTTTTGAATTTTTCTTTCATTTTCTATTAACTTTCGTTCAATTTTCCATAGTTTTTCTGAGTATTACATTTCTCGTACCTATTCACGCTTCCAGCGCTTTAGTTCAAACTTCATCGGATAACCGTTAGAGATGACGCCACCTACATATCTCTTCTCTCTCCCAGTTCCTTGTAACGACTTTTATTCTAGCTGGAACACTTAAGGAGACAGGTAGTACTTTTTTTATTTATTTCTTATTTTAGCTTTCTCAATTTCTTCTCTCCTTCCTTTCATTCCTTTTCTCTTTTTCAACTCTTTATTATATTATACATTGTCTGTACATCTTGATAGACTTTACAATATCTCAATTTTCTATCTAACTACTCCATTCTCAATGTTTTAATTTTACTATTTATTTTCATTTCTTATATAACTTCATATTTCTTTTTTATGTTTTACATTTTATTCTAAGATTCCCATTGTAACACTTATGTCACCCTTTTTGATTATGCCTACTTCATCATTTCACACTCTGTAACGGTTATTATTATTTATCTCTTAGTTCTTAGTCATTATTCTAACAATTTCATTTTACTTTATATTTATTTATTTTATTTTTTTAATTTTTTATTATTTTTTTTTTACCATCACTACTTATGTTTCCCATACCTTGTTATCTGGTTATTTTCTTAGCCCTGATGAAGGCCTGAACTTCAGGTCGAAACGTCGGCATATGTAAAAAATAAATATTATCATTTATTTTTTGCCTTCCTTTTTGACTGACCACCCCAACTATTCTTCTCTTCATTATCCACGACAGTCAACCAATTACTAATTATATATTGAATTACAATTAGAATATTTATATGGTATTATTATCATATGTTGTGACAGCTGCACCCCTGCTTATAACAGAACCACCGTTTGGACCCTCAGATATGATACCAGTTACGACCACCAATCGATAATGTTATAATTTGAAAGTCTTTAGTGATATAGCTGCATTTACCAGCTCAAGGAATTTTCAGAGATTATATTACTCGAATAGAAATTGGAGTGTCCTTCCGGTCTTCGATTGTCAGAAAACTGGTTGACAAGTTTTGTTGACAAGGCCCAGTCAAATCAGACATGTTACCTTTAAAATGGTCGGGTAATTTATACTTCTTTTTTATATTTTCAGGTATTTAGTCAATAAAAATCTTTGTGTATTCCCTGCAGTGCTCTGAAAACCATTGAAATTTAGAACTCTTTCTTGTTTAAGCTAAAAATCACTTTTTTAGAGCAACATGAATAAAAAAAGGTGGCATTCGATCACAAATATCTTACAATAAAAAAACAAAAAGTTTTTTCCTAAACCGAACAGGGGTGAACTATCGAACTTTCAAAATGTGTACAGTTTTAAAAATTCTGAAAAAAAAACATGTAAAATGTTATGTTTCCTTTCGTTCCTGTTATTTTTAGATTAATTAGTAAAACAAGCACAATTGATTACAACATTTATAAGGGACAGCCTGTCATGTTTCTGAAAATATTTTAAAAGTATGTTGAATTTTGAAATAATTATTATTTTTTTTTATTTATTGTAAATGATATTTACAACTGTATACAAAAAATACATCTAGTAAATTTGCACATTGGTATAAAGACATGGAACACATGTTGAGAAACTACCCATTGGTAGCACTCTAAATTATTATTTAAAACATATAAGAGGATCCCATTACTCCCATAAAACACCATAATCGAAACATCCAATAAAGAACAGGAACAATGAATAATTTGTAGTTATAATTTTATATATATATATATATATATATATATATATATATATATATATATATATATATATATATATATATATATATATATAATTGAAGGAAGATCGTCGACTGTTCTACATATCAGGGATGATACATAGTCAGGACGCAGTCATTATGCAATTTTTTTCTCATTCTCATCCTCAACCACCCAGCTTTTGCAAACATACATTCTGCATTTAACTCATACCACCCTGGACTCCGTTTTACCATTGAAATAGAATGATTCCTTTCCTTCCCTTTTCTTGATCTCTTCATTTCCAGAAATAATGATAATACCTTATTCACCAATTGGTACACCAAACTTACCTACTCCTGCCGTCTCCTTAACTATTTTTCCCAACACCCTTACCACCAAAAAAACAATATAGCTAAAAGCCTGACTGCAGTCTAACATTAACCAACCTGCAATTCCATGACAATAACCTAACCAAACATCACAAGATCCTGATATCCAACGTCTTTCCTGATCACATTATAAAAAAGCTAATTAAAACTCAATCCAAACCTCATCATCACCAGTCTCCCACAAACTGTTCTCAACCTCCCACCACAATTCGCCAATACAGATCCATTCCATACATCTCAGTCCTTTCTTAAAAAATTAAAAAAGCTTTAACTTCCAAACTTCCTCATCTACAAATAATTTAAAAAAAATAGTAGTGAATACCAAAATCAAAGATCCTGTTCCGCTCCTGTAACAATCAAATATTGTATACCATATCCCATGCTCTAGCCCAAACTGCAATTCTTCTATATAGGAGAAACCAAAAACTGTTTTAAAAAACGAATATATCAACATAAATACAACATCTCCACATGAAACCAGTTCGCCTCGAAACGTGCCGAACACACCATAACTCTCAAACACACATTTGATTTTGAAAACCCAACCATACTTGCCACAATTCTCAATCACCAAAAACGACTACTTTCTGAAGCTCTATTCATCAATTTAAAAAAAAATAAAGCGGTAAACCACAAAGTAGAGAAAGAAAAGATCTGCAACACATATTCTAATATTTTCCGCCTCCTAAAACAATAGTCTATAATCATTAAAGTTTTTGATTTTCCAGTCAACTTACATAGGTAGTAAATACTTATCCGGTTATTATATATACATGAAATGCCCATTCTCAATATAAATATATACTATAAACAGACACAGATATATTTATACTCATAATATCAAAACTATTTAATCCTTAATATAATACATACTTCTATTATGATTAATATTGTTATTTTTAAAATACTGTATAATATATTGTAGTACGTATTTTTCAGTACATTAAAATTGTCTTTATTATAAATATTATTTGGCTAATCATTCTATACCTTTAATCAAACTATGTTATATTTATATTGATTGGCACCTCTTGCTTATGTTCATTTCATTACTAGCCAATATTCACAATTTTGTAACCATAAGAAACAACGAAAATCTTGTATACATCTAAAATATTTAGTCAGCAAATTATTTACATTCTACTAACAGAAATGTTACCTCCCTCCCCCTCTGACTATGTTTACCTACCTTTTGCTATCTGAAAAAGGACAACTGGGAAATCCTCCCCCGACCTTTTCACTTACCTACCAAATGTGTCAGTACTTGAAAGCCTTCAGTGCTCGAACCACGGTTAGTAAGAGAAAATATTACAAATTTTTATAAATAGATTATATATATTATTTTTAGTTTGTATAACTTTTTACATATTTCATTTTTAATATTGTGTATTGTAATAATAGTTAAGATTCATGTACCATCAAATCACTATAGTTTATTATTTACCATTATCGGTCGTATAATATTATATCTCTGATTGTATTTAAAACTTTTCAGCCCTGAAGATGAACCACATGTTTGGGTCAAACGCTGGCACAAAAAAAAAAAATTGTATGATGACTGCGTCCTGACTATTTATCACCCTTGATAAATAGGATTATAAATAAATAAATTATAGTATTATGAATAGTACACCATACATACGTTTGTATATATATTGATATTTTATACATTTGTATATATGTATAATAAGTTAATTGATTATGAATCAATCTAATCATTATTAACTGAAATTTATGTTCTCAGATCTATATTCTCAAACTTAAGATCGCTGTAATATTATTAGAAGTTGTAGGAACTATGTTGAACAGAATTAATTACGGATTTATACGATAATTATAAAATTAAAACATATAACTTTGAAGTATGCTTAGCTTTAATCATTTTTTTTTTCTATTTCATAGAATTTACCTTTTTCTTTATGGCTAATCACTTTTCTTTTATATTTTGAACAAAACGATTTTACTGTGCCAGGAGAGAAAGAACAACTACCTGGAAACAAAATGATTATGTAATTATATGTAGCGATATACAGACATTAAAAAAAAAACACAAATGAAAAAAGTCAAACAAATAAATAATTAGGAAACTACAAATAAAACCGATAATAGGTAATAAATATGATCATCATGGAAAATCATTCACTAGACATAATATTCTTTATTTTTCAGAGTTGATCTTTTTCTAAATTATCTTCTCACTATTTTTTTGCCTATAGTTTAATAAAGAATATATTTAAAACCAAAACTAAAATTATTCGACTTAATGTTCTAATCGTGAACAAAATTGAGTTTTAAAAGTCATTATTGGCGTTATTATCTTAGATAGTGAAGTTAGTAAACAAATAGTGTAGTAAGGCTTACTTAAATTTGCGCATGTGCTTTTGAGGTCCAAACTTATCCCTCGAGACCAACCCAACGGCCTAGGGCAGCGTTGTTCTGGTAGGGCTGTTACTAAGTAAAAATAGCTGACAAGGAAAGATGAGTGTTGACATGGAGGCAGCGGAATCATCATCTACGCCCAGATCAGCAGCACCCAGTAACTCCAAGAAATCAAAGAAGTCCAAGCCGAAAAAAGGGAAACGAGAAAATAGAGATGGTGACTTCACTTGCCCTAAGAACGTGTGCAGTGCGCCCGGTAAGTTTTGGCACGTCAGTTTTAAAATCGTACCAAATTATATTAATGTTCGCTATGGCTCATAATTGGGTGACTTTCGTGAAAATGTGGTGTTTACCTTTCCGGGAAATAAAACATCAAAATTTGACTTATTCGAATTCATATTTACCCAAAATGTGCCCGCTTTAACACTGCGCAGGGAGCTAGGCTTAGAGTCACATGGAAGGTCGCTACGGATCTGTGAGATCCACCTCAACAAATCAATTTATTGATCAAAAATACCAATACATTTCTCATTACTGAATGAAAAATATACAAGACGAGTTTTTTTGAAATATATTTATTGAGTTAAACACACAGCTACATAATTTTAAAAAAAATTAAAAATCAAAGCGAAAAATACGTTGACAAAATTAGGATCATGGACGTTAAATTATCTCTAACATTAAATAAAAATCACTGAATACTAGGAACAATTGTAATAGGATTAAAGATAATTAATACAAACGTCATCACAATATGAACATCAGCCTCTAAAAGGCTTCAATTTCTCATTAACAATCACGTATGCTCCAACTGAATAACAAGATCGGCGGTTTCTGACACTCTTCAAATATGTCCCGGACAGGTGCCAGTCGGTCTATTTCATTACGTTGTTAACGTGTTTCTCGGTATCATCAAATCTCAGGTATCGAAGTAAAGATCGAAAACTTCGTATACTCAAAGTGAGACGAAATATCTCGATTCCAAAGCCACTTGAGTCCCTCAAATCATCCAAATTTTTCTTTCCACATCCGACTTTATGGATCCCTGTAATATATAACATGCCAATAAAAGCTTTTATTTAAATTATATAAGTTGCCATTACATCCCTTTCCAGTTAAAAATTTCCACGTACACCGTCAATCCTCAAGTTTTGGTACAAAAATTGGATGTAACACAGGTCACCTCACTACTGGATTGTAAGACTCCAAGAACCAGAAAAACATGTGGAGGGGGGGGGGTCCTCTCCTAGCAAGCGGTATAAAAACACATCAAATAGATCGCTCGGCGGATCTATCAGAACTCGGAGTGTTAAAGAGAAAACTTGACGATCCTATTTCTACCCGGTAAAGACAATCATTAGCTTTACGTTCCTGCGTAATGAATAAATGTGTCATTGGCTTCTATACTATTAGAATGAAGAAGAATCCACAATTTTTTATTTGATCTTTTTTTTTCTTTTCTACTCCACCTCGCCTATATAGAGTTTTCTGGGGCCAGAAGATTGAGTGGGAATTAATAATATCTGTGTTAAATAATCACAGGCCCTTCATTATTTCTTTTCTTGGTACCTATATTAGTCAAATAAAGCTTAAATATCCAGAAAAGCAAGGTGTAAGAGATATAAAATTCAATGCACTTTAACTTTGCTAGTAAGCATAAAAAATTTGACCCTATTATAATACATTACTTATCTATTGGTAGGAAAGGAATAAAACGTGTATAAAATCGAATTAGGTATATTATTGCTAAAAATATGCGATTTTGACAAGTGTTTTTGTTTTTTAGAGAATTTAATTACCTTTAAAAAGATTATATATGAAATCATTTACGGTTTGAGTACCTTAAAAAAATGTCTACAGTCTGGAAAAAAAATTCCAATTTTTCAAAGTCCTTATTTATTTATTTTACTTATTTATCACAGGCATCGGTGTTCTAACCCCAAAAATCAAAGAGAGAAGCAAAAAATCGGTCCACATGTTTAGGAGTTAATGGTTCACTGGTAAACAGACAGAGCAATAGCTGAAAATGAGATTTTCAGACTTGAGGGGCTCACATACGTAATTTCGATGAAAATTTCACTAAAAACAAAATGACCCCATCACAATACTTCTCTACCCTATTGGTTGGGAAGTAAGAAATTTAATTACTAAAATTGATGGCGAATTTCACTTCAAATATGTAAAAAAGAATTTTTCATACCATTTTGGGATGACTGACGGGGTGGATAGGCATCTTTTCCGTACATTATGGCTTTAACAACCAAATCTTTTTTTAATCCTTTGTTACTACAAATGTTTACGAATTTTTGCAAGTGTGCGCAATTGTATGGATCCTAAAACAAAATACATATATATATGTATTAAGTAATAACAAAATATAAATATAGTATATATATGTGGGTGTATGTAGAAGTGAATTGTTTTATTATTTTTATCTGTTATTTCTTAATTGTGTAAGAGCATTTAATTTACTTCACATATGTTAACTATTCATATAGTATTAGGTTACAGGTCAGTGAGGCTATAACTTTAGATAGGTCTATAGCAGAGTTGGGCGTTAGCGAGCTAATTTTTAACTAGCCCACGTACCGCTAAAAAACTAAATTATCGCCGCTAAATATGAAGTTAATTTAGCTTCTAACTGTTTTAGCACAGTTAACTTTACCTCTAAATAAGCTTTTAGCGGAAACGAACAGCTGGCTTTTAGCTTAAGCTAAATTAACTATTAACTTAACCAAAAGCTTACACTAGGATTTTAGATAGTGTCCACGGGCACCAACTTTGAGTAACTTTTCAGGTTAAATCGATAAATGGGTCGACTATTAGGTTTTGGGGAGCGGTTTTTATGAAAAAAATGTCGGATTTTAGATAGTGCCCCCGGGCACGAACTTTTTATAACTTTTCTGTTTAATCGATATATAGGTCGACTATTAGATTTTGTGGGACGCTCTATATGAAAAAAAGGTCGGACTTTAGATAGTGTCCCCCGGGCACCGACTTTATGTAACTTTTTTGATTTTAAAAAAGTATCTAAAAGGGAGCAATATCTTAAATCCCACATCATTTTCATAAAAAGCGCCCCCTAAAACCTAATAGTAGACCCATATATCAATTAAATCAGAAAAGTTACAAAAAGTCGGTTCCCGAAGGCACTATCTAAAATCCGACCTTACTTTCATTAAAAGTGCCCCCAAAAACGTTATAGTCGACTCTAAGAATAATTAAATCCGAAGAGTTAGCTATTAGCATTTAGTTGAAGTTACAGATAAAAATAATTAGCTCTTAGCGGTAAGAAAAGCTAAAAGTTAGCTTCTTGGTCCCGCTAAAAGCTAATTTAGTTGCAGAATTAACTTCTCGCTAATAGCTAATTTAGCTGTTAGCTATAGATAATTTTTGCCCAACACTGGTCTATAGTATAATTATAAGTGTGTTATAGTTAAATCATTTAAATTTCACACTGGTTCAAAATAACTAGAAAAACCCAATATGTTAAGAAATTCACAAATTTTAAATATTGTTTAGTATTATTTATTAGTGACGAGTTTCTTTTTGAAATTAATGTTTAATAAAAAGTGTCTTCATAGATAAAACGGTCTTAAGTTTTTTCAAGCAATCCATATATATATATATATATATGGATTGCTTGAATATATATATATATATATATATATATATATATATATATATATATATATATATATATATATATATATATATATATATATATATATATGTCCTCAGGAGGAGGAGAGAATGATTTATATATAAGGTATATAATATATATATATATATATATATATATATATATATATATATATATATATATATATATATATATATATTTACTAAACATATATGAATTCAGTAATTTTTCGAATTTCACTAAAGGAATTTAAAAATTTGATGGTCGTATCACTCAGCTTCAACAAACCACTTTACTATGGTTAGATATTATGTTTTTGTAACACTGGGCTACTGTAAAATGTACTTAATAGTGCTCAACCACTAATAAAAAACCATACCGATGGCATGCAATGAGAATTAACTTCCCGCTAATAGCTAATTTAGCTGTTAGCTATAGATAATTTTTGCCCAACACTGGTCTATTGTGTAATTATAAGTGTGTTATAGTTAAATCATTTAAATTTCACACTGGTACAAAATAACTAGAAAAACCTAATATCTTAAGAAATTCACAAATTTTAAATATTGTTTATTATTATTTATTACTGACGAGTTTCTTTTTGTAATTAATGTTTAATAAAAAGTGTCTTCATAGATAAAACGGTTTCAAGCAATCCATATATATATGTATATATATATATATATATATATATATATATATATATATATATATATATATATATATATATAATATATATATATATATATATATATATATATATATATACCTTATATATAAATCATTCTCTCCTTCTCCTGAGGCTCCTTAACATTTTTGTCTTTCAGTATTATTCTAAAGGGACTTGTCCCAGAATAAATGAAGCATTATTATTATTATTATCTTTTTTATTCTCGCCTTTGCGGATTTAAAGCTGAACATGGGGGACAAGTATAGAATCCAGCCACCTGCAGTTATAATATTTTAACTCCTAAATCCATAATAAGGACATCGGGTCTGTTGTGACGCAATGTATGATCCGTTATTATTGTTTCGTCCCAATACATCTTGAGGGAACCATTCTGAAGCAGCCTTATCGGATTATATTTGTAATATGGCACCTTTTCATCCAACAGGTTAAATTTCACAACCAGAGTCGGGTGGAATATTTTCGCCACATTGTTGTGCTTTTGAGGATACTCCGTACCAGCGAGTACTCTACATCCAGTCAACAAAGTCGACTTTTATCAGATGTTGTATTGTCTTTAAGAACGTGCCTCCTATATGACCTGGTGGCTATGACCTGATCTTGAATGGCGACTACAAACCCTTCTGTTTCAGAGAATAGCCTTCCAGCCGCTAACCATTCCACAGATTTTTCTTTGTCTATGGAGGCTTCATTCAATTGGCTGTAGTATCTGCCATGTAGCGCCTTGCTTTTCCATCCTGACAGCCTTTCATTTTCGGACACAACTGTGAAATCTTCGGCTTTGTTCAAATTGAGTGCCGTTAGACCTGAATTCATATTGGTTATAGTAAGGTAAATCCCTGTAGTTTTTGAAAGAAAATATCGTCGTAGCACCAGCTCTTGCTTTCCGCAAGTCCGCGACCTCCTTCCTTTCTAGGTAAATACAGTTGGGCTTTGGAGGATGTTGGATGGTGAGACCTCTCTTGTGTGATTGTCGTTCTTACTAGATGATCAATCTCCTGTAGACTGGTATTGGACCACTGTACCAAAGCTATAGCTCAGAGCTGGTATGACCCAGGTGTTAATGGTCTTAATTTTGTGCTTCCCAGATAACTGAGTCCTGAGTACTTGTCGCAATCTCTTTCTGAACACAGTCAGAAGCTGTTGTTGCACGCCCCTTCGGGCAATTTTAAGGTGTTGTTGCATGCCTAAATATTTATATAGTTGATGTGCTTCTAGCTCTTTAATGTGATCTTCTTCGTTTATCTAGATGTTCTGGGTATTAACCTTTCTTCCCTTTTTTACATGAAGCACCGCGCATTTATCAAGTCCGAATGATATACCTATATCACTGGTAAAGGATGATACTGTTTCAACCATGTTCTGTAATTGCTGTTCATTTTTTGCATACAGTTTGAGGTCATCTATATACCAACTATGACTGATTGTGGTATCATCATCTTTGATGTTAAGTTTGTAGCCCATCTTGCTCCTTTTGAGTATCTGGCTTAATGGGAACTGTGCCATACATGGTACATGCCATACATACTGTGCCATAAAACCACAGAGGCCTAAGGCAATCTCCTTGATAGATGCCTCTAAGAATTTTAATTTGATTGTTAGCGCGGATTGCTCCTATATTCAGCGTGGTAGCCCAGTCCGCCATTAAATTTGAAAGAAGTTTGCTTATTTTAGGTTGAACCTTGTATATTTCCAATACTTTGAGCAGCCAACTGTGTGGTACAGAATCGAAAGCTTTTTTATAATCGATCCACACAACAGAAATATTTCGCTGGCTTTTTGATGCTTGCGCGGCAATAAATGAATTATATTACTAAAAGTCCTTTGCTGCCCCAAGCCCTTTTCTTGCATCCTAACTGTTCGGTGGGTATCATACTCTGAGATTCCAAGTGTTCATAAATCTTTGTTGACAAGATTATTATTATTATTATATCGAATATATCCAAAATGTAAAATAAATCAATATCTGATCGATGAAATTCGATTTTCCATTCAAAAACTCTGAGTGCGACAACATTACAAATATTACATTGTACTCTCATATCGAATAAATCGATATCTGAAGCTTATTTCGGAAATTTTGTTTTAAAAAAATTAAATATAAAATGGAAAAGATTGAATTTGGTTTGGAAACAGTTTCATTTGAAACAGGAAAGCTTTAATTTGACTTGGAAATATATGTACTTTCAATTATTTATAATTAATTAATAATTATTTTAATTATTTTTTTGTGAGTTGGCTGGTTTTTAAACTGTGGTTTACAGTTGTAGTTACGAAGTTATCATTGTTTCATTGCATGCCATCGGTATGGTTTTTTATTAGTGGTTGAGCACTATTAAGTACATTTTACAGTAGCCCAGTGTTACAAAAACATAATATCTAACCATAGTAAAGTGGTTTGTTGAAGCTGAGTGATACGACCATCAGATTTTTAAATTCCTTTTGTGAAATTCGAAAAATTACTGAATTCATATATGTTTAGTAAATAAATATATGTTAATATAATAAAAATATGTGTTAGATGTTTTATATATTTATAAAGAGACTATTCTTTGCATGACATCTGTATATCATAAAATGTATCAATAAAATGAAACACAAAACATTTGTGGCAATGCACCTTAAGTGAAGATATATTCATATGGAGTAAGTATTACTAATTTGATAAATAACAAATGAATGCATTGATATAAAACTAAATTATTTTATAAGTTTAATTATACAGATTACTTTAAATATTTAACTCCTACCATTAACGCATTACCTCTAAAAGGCTACCATACTTATAGTAAAAATTTGTGAATAACATTCTATAACATGGAAATATATCTGTAGTTAAGGGCTCAGTTTTTTTCTCCAATTTCTCAATTAGATTGTTTTGTTGTTGTCTGGTGCTTGTTACTGCTTTCAGAATGTCAATAAACAAATCATAAATTATTTTACGTTTCTGAAAAGAAACAAACTGAATTAAATTTAAAAATTGAAGAGATTGGTTGGGGTTAATAAAGTATATCTATGAAAATAAATAATATATATATATATATATATATATATATATATATATATATATATATATATATATATATATATATATGTGTGTATATATATAATATTTATATTTATTTATTTTCTTTTATATATATACTTTTTTTATTTTATTACTTTTTTTTCCATTATTTTTTTTTTTTACTGAATACTCCGAACTAATCATTTCGTTCATTATTCACTACAGTTAACCACCAATCCACAATTATCAATTTAGCAATATATATATATATATATATATATATATATATATGTGTGTGTGTGTGTGTGTGTATAACTTGATTTATATATATATATATATATATATATATATATATATATATATATAAACTATGAAAGTAATAAAACATTGACTGAAATAATTCTATGACAAGAATAATGACTTATTTTTAATTATAATTGTAATAAATTTCCTGTTAAATACTAAAAGTTTAATTAAACTATATGAACATGAAATGAAGTGTTAAGTTACATCTTTTAGTTGTTTAATCTCGCCTTTCAATTTATTACGTTGTTTTGAATTGTTGGCATCCTTCAATCTGCTCTGAAGAATGTTAAGAGGTACGTTAATACTATTTACTGTATCCTGAAAAAATAAGAAACATAAATAAAATTTATTATTTATTTATTTGGTTATATTTTAGGTGCCGTGTGCAACTTTATAGGTTAGAGGCACCATCTTGATTGTTGATTTACATTTCAATATGTCTTATGTATGTAAAATTTTGGATGTGTATGTTGTTAGTATTTTTGTTTAAAGAACGTGTTGTTACAACTGAATAGGTTATTTCTAATTTACGTTGTGAATTCGTTTATGAGGATGATATTGTTTAAATATGTCTGTAGTAATTGTGTTTTTTCAAAAATTGGAATAGGTGTTTCTGATTTCCAGATTGTATGGCTTGTCGATATCCTAACAGCAGATATGAGGTCCTTGATGAATCTAAGCTCGGACAATTTTCCAAGATGTGAAACATTGTTAAAGCTGTATCGCAGCTGGGACATCTTGGTGGCGAACTTCCGTCGAGTAGATGACCATGCGTGAGCCTGGTGTGCCCTATTCTGAGGCGTGTGATGATAGTCTGCTCCCGTCGGTTTCCTTGAATCTCTGGAAGTGGATTCATGTCATGAAACATTCTTTTCATTTTGTTTGTGATAGGAACCTTTGCCCAACAATATCGCCAGGCCTCTCTACACTGGTTCAAAATTGCGTTATTGTAATCGTATAGCGCTATTTTATTGTCTGGTGCTGGAAGTATGGTGGATGCTTCTTTTGCGGCGCTATCAGCCAGTTCATTGCCTGGTATTCCTATGTGACTGGGGACCCACAAAAATGTTATTGTTTTTTTTGTAATTTGAATAATTTGTATAATTTGGAAGACAATGGGGTTGTTGCATGATTGAAAGTTTTCTATTAGTTTTAGGGCTGAGTAGGAATCACTAATAATTAAAATGTGGTCATTGTTAATTTCGTTGATTATTATATCTAACGCTAAATATATGGCAAAGAGTTCGGAGGATAGGACTGAATAAATGGAGGGTAGAGAGTAGCGGATGGTCTCTGTAGGTAGAACAACGGAACATCCAACATGTTCTGATTTTTTCGACCCATCGGTATAAATGCATGTGTACTTTTCGTAGTTATTTATATGAGCTAAGAAGAGTTGTTTTAGTGCTACTAGTGGGCTATTTAACTTTTTTTTGTTTTTTAATGAAAAATCGAAAAGTGTTCTACTATTTGTCCAAGGAGGTAAAGGGTTTACGTTTGATTTGAACAGCTTTGGAAGTGTGTACGTATTGATTAGTGGCGGGTAGTTGGCAAGGCGAGTTGGTAATTTATACGTCGAGAAGTCAAAAAAGTCTGTAGTTACTTTTAAGCGTCCTAAAAACTTTAACAAAAGAAAGTTTCTGCGTAGTTCTAGCGGCCATTCATCAGCCTCCCAAAGTAGACTGTTAATAGGGCTAGTCCTGAAGGCTCCGGTTGCTCGACGGATCATTGAATGGTGTACTGGATCTAGCTTGTTTAATATTTTCTTTGAGGCATCCCCGTATACTTCGCATCCGTAGTCAATTTAAAATAAAATTTTAAAAAAGTATGTTTTTGGATGATTCTTATCTGTAGTAGTTTTTTCAATTAAATTCTTTTATTTATTTAAGATATGTTTTCTTTTAAACCCTTATATTTAAAAAAAAAGTCAAGATTTGGTTTATTTTTGATGAAATATGAGAAGTATTAAGTAAGTATACAATTTGAATTATTGAAAATTTGATGGAATTTGTAAAATTTTAGCGCTTTGAAGCTTCGACTTTTTTTTATATTATAGTCCTCCCTCCCCTCCCACCATAATTGATATCATATAATATACTATTAAATCATAAATAGAATTAATATCATTACATATTTTCAGATTGAATTGTTTTCTTTGAATTTAATCAACCAAATTACTAAATTTTAAACTATTAATATCACTACCATACAAATTAATTTAATATGTAATTAACCTCATAAAATTAATCTAGGTTATGGTTATGACCATTTATCATTCAAAGTAGTGCGTTTTTCTTTCTATTTCAAACCGGGTGAAAGCACAGAGTCGTGAAGAGGTTGGTCGTAGCTTTCAAAATATGGTGCTAATGAATAATTTCAGTTTTTGCTCTTACAGGTTTTCGCAATGTGACTGTCAATAGGTACATTTTCTTTAAAATTAAAATTTTTGTTCATTAACTTTCTAGCTTTCAATAAAAATAAATTATATTACTAATAAGGTAAGATATAACATTCTTTTCTAAAAAAGAAAGACAAAATAAGTGATTAATATATTCAAAATCATTTGTATACATTTATTTCCAGATACCTTTAGATGTAGAGTCGTCGATGGATTTCTAAGCATCCGTTTATCTGTTGTTTCCAAAATAGTTTTCAGTTTCTTTACACCTATCTTTAAATCACCATATTCCTCTGCACGGCTGATATTGGGATCCAACGTGTCATAGAGTAAGTTGAACTTCGATATTTTTTCCTGTATGATAGATAAAACCCAAACTTTATTAATCCATGAATGCACTATACGTTGAAATATATTTTTGTAATTTAATTATATTAATTACCTGACTAGAGCGCTTGGGAATCCTTTTAGAAGTTATGGGGAGGAGGAAGTCCAGGAAAATGACTGAATAGTTATGGTAAAGGAGTTGACAGCGCTATAAAAGTCGTCGGGAGGTTTTAGGGATATATTGATGTCTCTATTGCCTTGATTAATCACAAGAATTGTGATTATCGGTAGCATTCGCTTTGGAGCTAACGGATCTCCAAGCAGAATCAATGATTTCCGATATAACTTTTTTTTCACAAATCGGAATGTTTGTTTGTGTAACTTTACGTGGTATCTTCAGCGGGTTGTACAAAAAACTATTTCTAAAAAGAAATAGGAATCTCTGAAACTTTTAGAAGGGCTATCATAACTTTAAAAAAAATTGGCATGGGAGGAGGGGGATTATTTTGAGAAAGTAAACTGTATTTTTATTGAGTGTGCTGCTCCTCTCAAAGAGAGAAGTAGTGTCCCTTGAGGCGTCAAGAGAGGTTGTCAATTAACATCCGCCTCTTTTTTCTATTTTAACTAGAACGGAAAACCTTTTGCTAAAAACTTTTTTTGTGTGTGTGTGTTCATCTAGTGATAAAATTTGGAACGATTTCTACTAGCAATAAGAGAGTGGCGTTCGGAAAAAAGAACATACGGTGCCCCACGTGGCGTGGAATTGTTGGTTTTATCGGAATATCTGAACTTGATAGAGATGGTTAGCGAGTGTTGTGGAATATAGAACAATAACCTAAATTTCCTCCATAAATTCGTACAAATTTAGGTCACCAGTTCTAAGATTAAATTAACTTTTAACTTTTAATTTTGTCACTAATGTAAATAATAATTGTTAATAATACTGTAAATAATATTTGTGTTATTCTTAAGATGTTTAGTTATTCTGACTATCATATATGTATAACTTCAAATCTTTTTTATTTTTATATTATATTATGTTCTTATATTTTAATTTACCATATTTATATTATTTTAGGCTGCTTGTTTGTTAAATTTAAGATGCATTAAAATATAGCATAATGAGTGTGTTAATATAATTATCGAATTGCTATATTATCATGTATAATTGTCAAATTGTTTATTATCATATATATATATTAACATAATTATATGAACGTAATTAAATTTGGAATAAGGCCACTTAATTTTTTAATACATACATAGATGGTGCTGCATCCCGTCACCAAGACTCGGCCTCCTCCAAAAGCTTTCGCCAGTCATAATGATCAGCTTCAGCAGCGTGCGTCCGATGTCACAGTCCTTCCATCTTACACTTGGCCTGCCAATATTTTTTGGTTCTTTCCTATATTTTATTTAGGCTATATGGGATTTTCTCGGACCGGTGGGAGGAGGGGGGAGGATGAATTTTAAATTCCTCTCCAGCACCAGGACGCGAACTCCTACTTTTTTTTAAAAAAAAAACTTCGTTTATCTGGTTGTCGGACGACTCGCGGTGCTGTGCACACATGTTACCCCATACGGCAACCCCGCCTCCACTGCCAATCATTCTTTGTCCATGCTTCTTTCCGGGGAGCATCGTCCTGGGTGTCGCCGAATCATTCAAACGTGCGACATCCCCGACCCATCGAAGTCATCCCATCTTGATAAACTTGACCAAGTATTCATCTTTATAGAGGCCCGCGAGTTCGGAATTTCTCCTGCTTCTCCAAATTCCACCCTCTCTAACAAGACCGAAAATCCTTCTCAAGATTGATATCTCAAAGATCAGAAGTCTATTTTCATCTTGCTTCTTAATGGCCCAAGCTTCTGATCCATAAGTTAAAACAAGGCGGACCAAGGTTTTGTAAAGAGTGATCTTGGTCCTGTTAGAGAGTGTTTTGTATTTAAGTCCTGTGATCTTGATGCTTCTAAAATGCTTCGCAAGTCCAAAGTAGCTTCGTCTCGCCGTTGCTATCCTCCTGTTGGCTTTTCGAGAGATGTCTTTTTCGGAAGTGATCTCAGACCCGAGATAGACAAAGCTGCTTACATTTTCGAAATTATATGATTCAGCCACAAAAGAGCCGGTCCCTGCCCCGTCTCCTTCGGCTCTCATGCCTTGATCTTAGCTTCATTAATGCGTAGCCAACGTTTTCCAGACACAAGCTCTGCTTTCCCTGCAGGGAAGTTAAAAGAAGACAAGCTTCCTTGGGCATCGTCCTGTCTTAAACCGCAGTTGCTATGAAAGTCTTCCGAATAGTGACTTCCTATTCGTACTGCACACTTCGAGCGCGACATCGTCATTTTCACGAGACGTATCAGTTTAATTGGCACATTCATTTCCAACAGGGCCCGATAGAGTTCCGGCCGAGTTACACTATCGTAGGCGACTTTAAAATCAAAGAAGAGGTGATGTATATAACTGTTCTATAATTTTTGCAATTCTCCAGCAACAGCCTCAGTGAGAACAGTTGGTCCAATGTATACCTTCCTCGCCTAAACCTCGCTTAATATTTGCCTACCTCTCTCTTGGCATGAGGAAAGGAATAGGAGGAACTGAGCATGAGGAAATGAGGAAAAGAATAGGATATCAGAGATAACTTTATAAGCACATGAGAGGAGCACTATGCCTCGTTAATTGTCGCAATCCCATTGGTTCCCTTTCTTGTTTAGTGGGTAGATAATTTCCCTTTTCCACTCCTTGGGCATCTTCTCTTACTCTCATATCTTCAAAAAAAGTTATGGAGCTCCTTCCTCAGCTGCATTCCTCCATATCTTATCAGCTCCGATTGAATTCCATCCAATCCCGGAGCTTTATATGCTTATTTTTTTTTATTTGTTGCCTCAATGCATTCACCAAACTCAGGGGACCTCCTGCTTCTTGTCTGCAATCCAAGAATTTTCTCTGCATTAATTTTTAGCGCTCCTGAAATTTCCGACTACTGCTCATCCACTGTGTCGTTCTTCCTCCAGCTTAGTTTTAAGGTGTTGTCGATAAGTTTCACACACTGCAGGATCCTTCAGTTTATTTCTTCAAAGCTTCTCCAATATCCATTTACGCGCAATACTGAGGAAGTGAACCAAATCCACGTTTGGTCCTCTATATGTTCTTACTCCAATAACATTGAGCCTGTGACGAGAACTAATTAAGATGTGGACGATCTGGCTGGTAAACGTTCTAGTAGGTGATCTCTAGGTAGTTTTGTGTTCATTTTTGCCTGGAAACATGATACTTCCAACCACCAGACCTGAGTGTTCGCAAAGTCAATCACTCATTGGCCATTGACATTTGTATTCTCATTAAGACTAAAGGTTCCAATTGCTGGTTGTTGTATTCTTTCCGTGCCTATCTGGGCATTTAAGTCTCCTAGAACTATTTTAGCATCATAAGCTGGACATATCTTGAGAGCTTTAGAGACATCTTTGTAAAACTTGTTCTTCTCTTCTTCAGATGACACTACGTTAGGTGCATGACAATTAATCACCGAGATATTAAAGAATTTTCTCCTAAGGCGTAGGTAGCATAAAATAATTTTGTATTACTCAATAAAAAATAAAACAAAAAAATGGTTTTTAATTAAACACTGTTGTAATCTTGGGTATAGTATATAGTAATATAATAATTTTGAAAGATAAAAAATGGTTTACGTCTTGCGTATAAGTCATCCACAAGGTACTGAAGACATCACTTAAATATGTTTTCCTCACTTCATCCCAATAGGCAGCTGAAGAGGTTCGAAATGGTCCTGTCGAAGTCAGAGCATAAACTGTAAAATATGGAACTTAGTAACACATACAAATAAGGGCTATAAATATCATTTCTATAATTCTAATCAGTTACCATTTTTTCCATCAGGAAGCGTTTTATGAAAAAGGGAACCTGCATAACTAGCTTCGACATATATAATTAACTAAAAATAAATAATAAAAAATATTATAAAATGTAAACATCACGAATGAAAAAAAAAAGGAAATTTAGGGGATGAAATTTATCAATCAAGTAAATTAACAAGAAATTTATTGACGAGCCTTAGTCTTGCGCAAGGGTCTCGCAATAGTATTGCAGTTACCTATTAGCTTATTACTATAGAGATATCATTGCAATATTTTAGATAGGAGCAACCTACTTTTACTTCTTACTAAGCCTGTAATAAAAATTATAAGAGTTAAATGCAAAAGTATATTGGTTATACCAATTTTTTACATTTTGTAACTAAAATTGTCAAGCATTAGTAACTATTTTGCATTAGTTTGTGTTAAAAAACTCGACATTTTTCACCAGTCTTGGTCTTTGGTCTACTATTCTTGACGAACAGTCAGGAGGTTTTGGTCTTGGTCTTGCAAAGTATAAGAAAAACATACCCTGAAGTACAGTACATACTTTTGAATATTTATGATTATCGTACATCCAATTGATTGCCTCAAGAAAGTCATCAAGAAATAAAAAATCTTCGGGAAAGCTAACATATCCTGGACCTCCATTTCCTGCAATGTTGACAAATATCACGTCATCTGGTCCACTAGAAGAAATTAAATAATAAACAATAATATAATTTACAATGTGTATTCACAAAAAAATAAAATACCTGTCAACAACTTTTCCACTTCTATTACCATTCATAGCATCTTTATCACCTTTCAGGATATTCAGAAAATTTTCAGCCGTTACATCCTGTTAAAATTTTAAAGAAATATACGAACCTACTTTAATGCAATGTCATTGTATAAACAGGCAAAACCAAACGATTTAGTCCCTTTTTCTTCCCTGTTTCTCATCCGATTTTCTTTTTTCTTCTTTTTTGTTTAGTAGGTATTGACAAGTTTTAATGTTATCAACAAATAAAAATTGGATATAGTGTATACAAATAAGAATATAAATGTTGTTAGTTTGTTCATAACAGCTAATCTCTGAAAGTTCTTCACTGATTGCTTTGAAATTTTGGTACAACGTTGTAATCAAATTCAGTAGTGTTTTTATGTACATTTCATTACTATCCGGCCTATGGCTTCGAAATGGGTACCGAAAAACGTGATTCGAGTATATATGAATAGAAAAAAAAAATTGAAAACATAGAAGTTCATTTATGTTTTCCTAGAATGTTCAATAATTATTATGGCCGAATTTCAACCAATGGGCGGACAATAGTATATATAAATAGGTAAAGAAAATAACAGTTCAGTGTCTTTTTCTATTTCGTTTTTAAAAGATGTTATTTCTTTTTTTTTTTTTTTATTTAGCTGGCCGATATTAGTACTGTTCGAGTCAAAAAATGTTTACATAAATGAGAGAGATTATTATTTATTCATATACGATTTTACAGTAATCAAATATAATGTGATCTCACAGAAGAAAATTCTCATTTGTATTTTCAACAAAATAGGAAGATGTGATAAATACTACAATATTTTATCCAATGCTTACCTTGCTAGAATAATCAATTGGCACACCATCGTAGACATTAGGCCCATCTGGGGCATTGACAAGTTTATCAGGGGTAGGGTTACTAAAAGTAAAGTCAAGTATAATTACAAACAGATAAACATTCAAATAAAAATACGATTACATGTAACATACTTTGTATGACAGGTGAGATCGTTGTAGATCATTATTATAATGTTTTCTTTAGGGATACCGCTGCTTCGCAGCATTTGATAAGCATGACTGATATCAGCCTGAGAGACAGAAGGGAAAAAATAAAGATTTTTTTTAATGGAAGAAATTTTTTTGTAACTTTTTCTTCAACAAATTTTTATATTGAATAATTTTAGTAATTATTAGCTATTTTTTATACAAATAAGTTTTACATTTTTTTTTCATAGCCCCCATTTACTTTGTTTACAATTAGGTGCGATATATTAAAAATATTTTAATTCAGTCAAATATTCGATGGATAGTTTTAGAAAACTCTTTTGTCTCTAAAAATCGCAATAACATCCACTGATCTGATGTCCGTGTTAAAATTATCTTTTGAACTGGTTAACTATTTATCATTATTTATGTTTAGGAACTCCCAATATCCGTGTGATAATTCGAGGATTATATGCAAAGCTAATCACGCTGTAACTGAAAAACTTTTTAAAAAACTATAAGTAGCTGCCTTATTTTGTTTAGCTTTGTTTTATTTTACTTATTTCTATTTTTTTAATTTATTTAATTATTATATATTTCCTGTAAATATGGAATGCCTGTACTCTGTCCGCCCAAGGTCGATGGCGAAAGAACCTACCCTCTTCTTCGCAGATGATGAGATTGTGATGGTCCGTAAGAAAGTTTTTCTGGAGATGGTGTTTGTCTAAATGAGGGAAGTTTATGAAGACGCATGTCTCAGGATCAACTTACAAAATACTGAATATATGGCACTGAAGGATGAGGAAGGCGATCTATGCATAGGTGATGAGGTGGTCAAATGAGTAAAGGCTTTTAAATGTCTCGTATCCTATATGGACGATGTGGGAGCGTCCGAAGTGGATATACGAAACAAGGTTCATACAGCAACTAGAATGCTGCCTCCTACTCCCTGAATCTTCACGGATATTGTCTAGTACAGGCACGGTCAATGAATGCTAATTTGGATGCCAAAGTTCGGACTGTAGAAATGGATTTTTGGAGAAGGCTGTTAACGAGGATGGACAGAGTTCGAAATGAGGTGGTGAAACAGTGAATAGGTGCAGAGAATACCGTCTCTGAGAGATTCCGAAAACGGTGATTGATGTGGTATGTACACTGCAGGAGAATGCAGGAAGAGCATTGGCCAAACAGAGTTCTGGACTGGCAGCCAACCGTAAGGCGTAGGCGAGAACGACCCAGAGCCACGTGGATGGGACGAGTCCGAGAGTAGATGGCCGGCCGAGGTCTAGAGGAGGATGACAGGGAGGATAGAGATCTGTGAAGTTCGGCTCTGACCTGAAGAGGTATCCCACCTTGGAACACCGGAAATAAGCAAGTAAGTAAATAAGGGTTCTACTTATTTTATTTATTATTTTTTAAAAATTAAATAATTTATATTTATTTCCCTTTTGTATAAATGAACAATTTGATCCCTATTCATTATGATGTTTAATGTGGCAGATTGTATTGTTATTCAATAAACAAAAAATAAAAAAAAGTATGTAGTGGTGAAACGACAAATTTGTCACCTGATGTCTGTAATTATCCCATCCATATGAAGCAGCAGCAAGCAGTGCCCAGATCTTTTCCTGCATGTGTTGTGTTTTAATACAGATAAAAGTATATTCCATATAGATGAGAACATATGCCAGTAAGCGACATACAAATATTTCCATTGTTCTTCGTCTATTGTAATAATGTTTTGAAATGAAGTATGTTTTTATTAGAAAATCATGCACTCATTTCACCAGACCAAGAGCTATGGAGAGATTGGTGCCGAGAGAAGGATCATAATAGGAGGGGATGAAGGACATACCACCAAATCTACGGTGTATTTTCAATGTCTGTTATTGAAATATTTTTTGAAGGTAACTACCAAATTTCGGAATTTGAAAGGAGCGATAAAGGGTGGAAGTCGTAAAGTGAAGAAGGATTTTCAAATTTATTTAAAAGTTTGACTAGGGGGGTTTTTCAAGAAGAAAATTGTGCATAATTTCGTAAAGAAACAGTGTAAATATGATTAAGAACAGAAATGAGGAAAAGAAGACAGGGTCTTATTAGTTTTACCAGAATATTGTCGGGAGCACAATCATTAGTGTGGGATTTTATTATATTGTTAAGTAATTAGTCAGAAAACACATGGAAAAAAAAAGTTTTTTGAGTTGAAACAGTGTTCAATATCTACAGTAAGGGAATAATTAATTAATAAGATAATTATCTATAATAATTATTAACAATTAATAGGTGAAAATTATTAAAGGTAATTTAGTGGAATAAATATAAAAATTCGACATTTATGCCCTGTTAGGCTAAATCGATGAGATTGGGACTAAGGTGATATTAAAGGTCATTTGATTTTACATGGCTTTGGTACTAGTAATTAAATCAGAATTATTAGAGCCGTTTTCGAATATGTAGAAATGTTCGACATTATCAATGACATAAAATAGCAGTACTGGCAGAAAATAGCAGTACAGTATAAAATAGCCGATTTTGACGAAAAAGTTGCTGTAACATTCTAGAAATATACCTTACATATGTAATTTCAGCTTTGTACTATTTTTTTTTTTTTTGGTAGTCTGCTCACACGCTCACAGAAACTCAGAGAGAATATTTTGAGGTATTTGCTAATTTGGACTTGGGGTATCTTAAAAAGTGTATTATTGTTTATCCGTGGATTACTCAAATTTGAATTTTTTTTCACAATCACTATACTTTCTCATAGTATATATTGCATATATATATATGTATGTAAGTGAAAATAAAATTCAAATAATTGAATAATTTACAAAAAATTACAGACGGAAAGGAAAAAAATATAAAATATAAATTTTCTAAATATACCCAAACAATATGTTATTCGTCAGCCACTAACCGAAGAAGAAATTTATCGATAAAATATCTAAAATTAATGATCTATGAAGATTGGTCTGGTTAATAATAAGAGAATTAATGAGGTTGAACAATAAAATACCAGAGTGATTAATAAAGCTAATTTATTTGACAGCTGCAGGTTCACAATAATATGAATAGAAGAATATGGCTTCATGGAATAAAGAAGCGTCGCCAAATATTTATCATATTAGTTTAATTGAAGTTTTGTCTTAAGTGGGACTGTAAAAAAATGAAACAATTTTGATTCGACCATATAATGACGATCTACAAAAAAATAAATAGAAGAATTTTTATTATTTTTTTCAGTTGGCGCTATTGATCAAGTAGACTTTGGCCCCGAATCGTGGCCTTCTTACAGACGTATATTGCTTGAGGAAACACAGATAGCTACGTTGCTACGTACTATGCAGCGGCCAGCAGTGACTAAACAGCCGATCTGTTTGGGGCCAATCTGGCAGTCTTTCCCACCGAGGAATGACAATGGTGATGTTGATAATGATACAAGTAAATAATTAATTTTATTTTTACACATTTACTTTAAACATATTACTTTACCTATTTTAGTCTGTATAATACTTTTTTATTTCGCAGATTATTATATATATATATATATATATATATATATATATATATATATATATATATATATATATATATATATATATATATATATATATATATATAATATTATTTATTATATTTTATTAGTTTTTCAATAGCTATTAAAAGAATTAAATTACACCATTTATTTTTTGCTAAAATACAGTTATAAAAATAATTCAAAAATTAAAATACATCGGATAAGATAACGAGGTCGTTAGGCTCGATACCTCGGACCTCTCTTGTCAAACAAAAGCCACGCCCGTCTCGACCTCCAATGACACCTGTTAGCTCGGAAAGACAAGAAACCCAGCCAGGTACATACCAAGAGACAATTGAAGAATCTCAGCATCAACCATGTGCATAACCATAAGACCTAGGCGAAGAATCCACTTTTTTACACCTAACGTCTATCCGGTGCTTCCGAATGACACTACTGCTTTGAAGTCATTTTTTACCAATCTTGTATTAAATATTATCTCTCCCCCAAAAAATTCTTGAATGGCATCCGATAAATCTATATTCATTCTTCTTAGGAATGCGAATGATGGTAGAAATCATACAGACGAACTGTCTACTTTATTTCTTGAAAAGAACATTAACGTGTCACTATTTTTTTTTTATATATATCAGGTTGCAACGGCGGTGCTGTGCACACTCGTTAGCCCACTAAGGCACTAATTTCTGAAACTCGACTAACCACTGAAGAGCTCTTCAAAATACCGCAATACTTGACATATCGTAATGACCATCAGAGGTGCCCATCCCTCTGAAGGTCGCTGCGAAAGAATATATCCCCTCCCCTCCTCCACAAGCTATTTTGTTAGTTAAATTTTCCTAAAAACGGAGCAAGCGAAGGCGAAGGTAGAATTAGAAAAATCGTTGGTCATATACAATTACACTTTGTGTGGTATGTTCCATGTTTTCTCCTTGTTGCTTAGAATGAAACGTTTTATACCGAAAATTCATAACCCCACCGAAATGTGCTCCCTCCTCTAAAATTCAAAAAACAGCCTAACAGCCTAAAATTCAAAATATGCCTCTCTCACAAATTTCAATCAAAACCGATTCTGGACATTCCTGCTGACCACCCCGACGGAAGTGCACATGCCGGTATTGGACATTGCACACTAATCTCTATCCCATCCCCTACTCCTATTTCTTACACAAGACTTTCAAGAATCCACCGCTATCGTAATCAAAACCTACTCCTTTCCAGTTGCTCTTACATCAGCATATTGCCTTCCTAACCAATCCTTATCCAATACCCAGTTCAGTTTTCTCCTCGATACCTAAGACATCGCTTCATCTTGGGTGCTAACATAAATGGCAACGAAATTTTAGGAATTAAATTACACTAACTTTCCTCTGAACATAGTCCTCTAATTCTTAATTTTTCACTAGAACCTGTACCCCTACCTTTTACACAATCATTCAGAGTCCGAGTTAACTGGAACCTTTTCCAATTGCCCTTTCCAATTTACCAACAAAATTGCCCTTGATATATCCCTAAAAACTCTCAACGACCTAAATAGTGCCGTCAATTCTTTTACTACGATAATCCAACAAGCTGTCTGAACTGCCTTCTCCACAAAAGATTCCCAAATAATTCCTAAAAAAGCCATTCTACTCCTACAGCTTCGTGACCTAATCCACATAAAATCCCGTGTCAGATTATTATGGCGCCGTATGAGACATCCCACTGATCGCAGCTCTTATCATTATTACTGTAAATGATCAAAACAGGAATTAGGCACATTCAGATCTCCATTCTTCAACTCAATATCTCTTCTAGAAACAATTCCCTTAGTGAAACCACAAACAAAATTCTAAAACATCAACAACATTTCCCATCCTATCCGGCGATATGGCGGCTCCTGGGCAGCATCTGACGAAAATAAAACCGATGAATTCGCCCGACATCTCACTAATACATTCATTCCACATCCGGAATCCCATCTCACACATACCGTAACAGGAGAAGAAAACCTTTACCTTATATCATCTTTCCCACTCTCCTTTCACCCTAAAGTAATTTCTTCCCCTATCACTAGTGTCCTTGAATGTGACAGAATATAATATTTCTTAATAAAGAATTATAAAAAATAAATAAAACGATTTTAGACTTATTATATAAGCTCGTAGTTAAAAACATTACATACTGACTTGCTAATGTTATTATATAAATAGTCGATTTCGTAATCAATTTTACAGATATAACAATTGTAGAAACTATGGCCTCGGTCTGTAATTTATGATATTCATAGTAATATAGCGACATAATTCCTTATTCTTTTTCCTAGACTAATACGATGGGTAATTTGTTTTTGTTCCTAATTGATCTGTATTGATTATTTTTACATACAAAGTAATGTTAATCGAGTTTTATATTACACATATCAATGAATATAATTCAGTCATTAATCCATGATGGGAATATGAATATTAAGGTATAATATAATAACTACAGTAGAGAAATATATATATATATATACACTGTTAAAATCTACCAAAATATATTCACTTAAATATTAAATTTCTCTCTATGAGTAAAAAGGTATGGGTGTAGATTTTGATGACCCTTCCTCTTGTGTCGTGAATCTTGTAAAGGGAACACACATTTTCATACAACAGGAACAAAATTTCAAAGTTGCTCTGATGTCATATGAACGGTTTGGTTGAAGGTTTCCAATCGTTCGCAATCCGCTGATCGATCTTATTTTGGTAGTACTTACACTAACCCATGTAAGATCTTTGGCATTCTAAATAATAATAAAAAAAAAAATTTCATTAGTCAAAACTACAAAGTTTTTTTCGGCATTTAATTTTATTATGGATTTTTATTTTGTTCTTTGATAACATAATGAGCTATTCCATTTTTCATAAAAACAAATATACGCTCTCCAACACAAAAATACGAATGATGATATATTACTAACTTATTTGTCACCGAATAATATGAGAGAAAAAAAAACTGTGCCGCTACAACCCATGAAGGGTCTTGGGTTCAGTACTATCTAGGGTTTTTTTTTTTATTTCTTTATGACATTTACAACTGTGTTACATAAATACATCAAGTAAATTTGGACATAATTGATATAATGACATGAATACACTTGCTGAGTAACTACCCAATGGTAGCACTCTAATGATATGACTAAATTAGGAGATCACGGGGCCATCTTCTTTTCAGACGCCTCGGAGGGTTATCAGGAATTGAAGAGGAAGCAAGGTTAGAAACGAGAGGGTTGGGATGATTCTGAAGTTTATAATGGAAGGATAGGTATCTGGATTGGGGCAGATCTGAAACAACTATTTAGGGTAAATACTGTTTCTTAGTCAACAGTCAACTTAGTCAACAGTTGTGCAAATTTTATTTATTTATTTTTTTTTTATTCATTATTATTTTTTTTTTTTGTACCAATCATCCAAATAGTATTAAATGATGTTATTTAGTTGATCGTGCGCTTATGACTTGGATGTTTTGCGCCTAGACATCGAAACAAACAAACCAAACAAGTTGTGCAAACAGGTGATTTGACTGAGATCACGCTTAACCGCCAGGTTTTTTTCCTAAATTAATTATTTAATTAAGGGTACCCACTTTATAGAGGTGGGTGTGCCCCAGGAGGATATCGTAATCCCAGTGTCGCCCCATGGTCAATGAAACAGAATAAAGTAATAACTTTTGTACTGATTATAATTAAAAATAAACGGGAATAAAATTTGCATGTTCTGATCAAAATTTGTTTTTTTTATCTCAATTTAATCGTTATTGGTTATGTAAAACCGTATCATTATTTTAAATCGAATCAATAAACATCAAAGATCTATTTAATTTATATCTATAAATTAGGAATAATTTTAAAATTATAAATCAAATATAATATTTATTACATGATTTAGTGCGAAAAGTAATTACCGATTTCAAATCTTGATAATAAAGAATATATAATAATTATTAATTAAGTATTACAGCACTGACAAAACAAGTACCTATTTACTTATAACAATAATTTGTAGTTTAATTATAATAAACTTTTAATTTTCTTTGAAATCAGTAACGTCTATATATAAATAAATCCAACATTTGTCTCACATTGCACGAACCATTCACATCACACCAGTGGAACCATTCGAGGTTTTGCTATAAATGTTGCAGTGAACATTCGCGCAAACGTTAAGGCCATTGCGCCATATTGTATAAATGCCTCTATGAAAAACGTATGCTTAGTAATGATTCATAGAATTTATAATTTCTTACCCTTACTTGTATTACATATAAACTACTATTTTTTATATCGGGAATTATGAAGCTAGCATTATTCTGTGTTATGGCTACAATGTCGATTGCACCTACAAGAAAAATAAATAAATTAATAAAAATTAAGTAAATTCTATGGATTTGCACATATAATAAATAGGATTATATACCTGGTGAAATAACAAACTCCTCTTCTGTAACAAACAAAATAAATAAATGATTAATATTTTATGGCAATATTGAAACTTTTTAACTTTAAAAAAATATATAATTTAATGATTCATTTATTTGTAAGTATATATAAATATACCAATATATAACGAATATATATACAGGGTGTTTCATGGTTAAGTGGGTAAACTACAAAAATGAACTAAGGATCTCAAAACACGAAACAAATTTCTTTTGAAGGTATGTCCGCAAACGCTTAGTTAATCGCACCTAAAGATTTTCGTTTTTATGAATTATTTATAATACATGAAATAAATAAAACCTATTTATTCGTTCTAATTACTATACTCGTTCTAACCTATTCATTCGTTCTATCTCCCATCAGGCGCCTCCACAGGTGGCGGATAGGGGAATACTCACCATATATGGTGGGTACCAGGGAAATAAAATACCCGGGGTGGACCAAAACTAGCAAAATCCAGGTGCTACGGTTCCCAAATTGGGCGGCTACCTAGTCAGCGTCTGTTCCTCATGGCAGAGGCGGCTGTTTAAATCACCTGGCAGGAAGGTATAAAATGCATCTCACCCATCAACATGGAGTTACGAAACAGAAGAATAGCCTCAGACCTATCCAGAGTGAGTGCTGCTCTAAAGGGACCGTACCACCAGTCATCGGCAGTGCAGACGGTACCCCAATGCCTTATGGAACAGTAAGACAGTCTATCCAACGAACTGTATCTATCTCTGATTTGCGCTTGGACGCTGATGAGCCTCCCGCGCAAGGAAGAGAGCTGCAACGCCGAAGAAATGATCAACAACGGATGAAATGGACTCGCAAGTTGAACTTGTCACCAATCCGATCTTATTGCTCGCCACGATATTTGGAAAATGATAAAACTTACGTCATGTCGTTATATACTCTTCCAGCGCCGTATCCCATATGCCGAGTGGGAAATCGAACAACACCAATATGGATTCATGCGTGGCAAGTCAACAACAGACCAGATTTTCAGTCTTCCTGGTATTTTGGAAAAAAGTTGAGAATATGGAATCAACTGGTAGATTTTTGCGTGCACGCTTTAGCATTGATCGGAATGAACAATACAAGGCCCTCAACGTAATGTGCAAAAAGAACTTAAGGTACCTCCTAAACTTTGTTTGGCTGGTAAGGATGAGCATGATGGCCATCAAATGCTTTGTTCAAGTCTAGAGAAGGTGATCGGAGTGTTTTTAGACAATAGATGAGTGAGCCAAGAAGATGCTTTGGCATGCCTCCTCTTTGATTTCCATCTTCAGAGAATCAGGAATCTCAGACAACGGGTACTGTTTTCAACTGAGAAATTTAGCTTCTAGCATATGGTAATGAAATAGACATATTTGTCAATTCGTATTAGGCTGTATACCAAGCTTATGGCTTTCGAGACTGCAGCAAGATATCCCGGTTGTCAACTAAGTCAAGACAAGGTATATGGAGTCTTATCAACTTGGTCTCTAAATTTTTAAACAAGTGTCGGAATTCGCATATCTTGGTACACAAGTAACGTGCGACAATATGATATTTGCGAAGACACGAAGAAGAATGATCTGAGTAAATTGTTGTTATTCTGGACTCCACTCACACCTCTCTAGCAGACTTGTTTCGCAGCGCACTGAGTTCATCCTCAAAAAACTCCTTATTCGCCCTGGTTTTCATGGTTCTGAGACCTGGACTTCTTCAAAGGCGGATGAAAGAGACTTTGTTACTTTTGGAAAGAAAATCCTTCGCCGAACCTGTGTACTCATGTGTGAAAACGGACAATGGAGAAGGCGTACTAATAGAAAAATAAATGTGTCTTTTTTAACGATCCTGATGTAATCGCAATTATCAATTGCACAACTAGCAATTGTGATAAATCAGATATATCCGTATTATAAAAACATAATAACCTACCACCAAGGAGAATTCAGAAGAGGAGGTAATAAAGGTAATTGAGAAACGAGCCTGGATTGTGGTCCTTATATTTTTTCTTTCAATAAGATCATGCCTTATTCGTCCTTAACAACTTCATTACCTATACAGTCTCTTTTTGGCCTACCTAAAATTGTTGTAAGAAACATCATTTCCGCGGCGGTTTTTCGTGAAACATACTTCTCCAAATTGGTTCAGATTGAAGGGATTTATAGGAAAAGAGGTTCAAATTGCGACATGAAACTATTTTAGGAATAAAGAATTTCACGGGTAGAGCGTATGAAATTTGGATCATGTAGTTTGATATAGAAAGGGTACCGGGTCTGGGGACCCGATCCTATAATTTTGTTTGCCTCTATCTTGGCAGCCGTATGCTTCAACTGAGCAAATTGATCAGTTTTTGCTAGGCAGAGGAGTTTCATTTTTCTTCTTTCCTCTACTGCCTCATCACATGCTTCTATGAACCACATCTCAGCTTTTCTTTTCCCTGAATATCTATAACATCCTTAGCTGTTTCTATTAGTCAAATATATATTTTCTTCCAGTGTTGGTCTATCTTGAGGCTCTCTGAGTCAAAAGATTCGAATTTATTTTTCATCTCAAATTGGAATTTAGTTTTTACTTAACAGAATTTTTCAAACTATGGACTTCGTATATCCTTCTTTCCACTCGATTTCTCTGTGAATTCACTTCAATCTCTGATATCTTTTAATTCTAATCAGAGAGTGATTCGAACCATAGTCTGTTCCACGATGTCTTTTTACATTTGTATTGAGTTCTGGTGTCTCTTGTGTACCACCATCTTGACCAAAATGACCTTTTTTTCGCTCCTTTAGGGCGAACCCAGGTGTACTTTTTAATATCCTTGTGTAGGAACATTGTACTGTGTTAAAATATTATCAATTCACTTATGTTACCTTATAACCTCTTATGCGTAGATGGAAAATAATTAATAATGAAGATAATGTATTTTATTTTCATTTTTAATTAATTATGTAATATATGTGTGAATGTGTGTACTTTTGTGATTATTATTTGCCATAAAATAAATGTTTTACCTTTAGGAGCAACCGGCTTATCTGAAACACAAAGATAAATAATTAAATATCTTTTAGCGTAAAATAAAATAATATTGTTTTTGAACAATGTAAAAGTTTTAATAAGTAAACAAAATATTACTTGTAATTTGTTCTTTGGTAACTACAGATCAATGAACTACATATTTTTCACGAAAAAAAAAAATGTAAAAATCAAGGTTTATTAATAAAATCAAGATAACAAAACCTCTCAAACATTTAAAGTAAAAGTAACTAATAAATCATAAACATGGTGTAATTTACCCCAAAGATTTTTTATAGATATCTGTAGGCTAAAAACCAGATATGGAAAAAATGGTTATTAATAAAGTCTAAACAATATAATTATTAGCTAGTGTTTAATAACTAATTCATCTATAGTTATGACTCAGTAAATTATTGAAGGCGAGGCTCTAGCAAAGGAACATGAATCGAATGAAAAAATAAAGAATTGGGCTCGGCTTTTAATTACTGAACAAGATCTAGGTACAATTAATTTCAGAGGTCACACAACAGCTTTTGTACTGCCTACATGCCCTCTTAAAGTATCATTTTTTACGTTGTCAAATGTATTTCTCATCAGTTGATACAGGCATATGTGATATTTGATAACATTTCTTTCATTGTGTTGGTTTTCAAAGAAATCTGTCAAGCCAAAAGTTCAGAATTAATGTGATAAGAAAACCGATTATTTGATTGTAATGGAGTTCAGAAAAGTGGAGTGAGGATATACAGGTGACTTTTACTACATACCTGAGTATACACAATAAACAACGTAACAAGTTTATTAAAACGTACTATCGGGATCAGTAGCAGGTATTTGTATCAAATTAAATAAGTGAAAGTGAATACTGGAAACAACACAAATAAACTGTACAACTATTTTGTTTACCTCTGAAGCTCAGAACTAATTTTAAAAATTTTTATCTCCCCAATTTGCATTTCTTGTAATTTATGCAAGTGTATGTTGTAATTTATTGATATTAGGTACTCTCATCTGGCCACAGAACACATTTCTTCATAATAAAAAAGAAAACTTCCAGTTAATCTCTTTAAGAAGTCATTTTCGGAAATTCAATAATCCCTTCATCATATACAGGTTTGATATAGTTTTATTCATCAGTGAATAATAAAATGCAAAAGAGTTTGGAACTTGCGGACTGCATATTTGATTTAAAAAAAAAAAATTCTAGTACATACCGAACATTACTATCACTTCTGTTAGTACAAAAGGTAGTATGTAAAAATTGAGTGTTTTGTAGGAGAGCAAAAACTAATTGTTTCTTTATGATTTATTAGAATAACTTCATACATACAAATAAAAACAATATTTTATTGTCCTCTGCTATTTTCCATCGCAGCTTACTGCTTATATAAGTTACTGAATACAAAATGTCACCTTTAGCATAAATAGAATAAAAACTGAAAATTTTTACATACGACATTTTGCAATAACAGTAGTGATATATACTTAATAGGTATGTTTTCACTCGTGAAATGGATGTAACACTAATTAAGAGGAAAAATTCAAGTTTTCGTTTGTTCCTAGTTAACGGGACCAATGCTTTTCTTCAGTCAGAACAAAACTAATTATGCTGAAATATAAAAATATGTGTGAAGTTCACACAACTTTGATATTTAACAAGAAAATCGAGACCACGACGAGCTGGTTTGAACTTCAATAGAAAGAACAAAATCACAAATGAGATTTTTTTTTTATTAATTTAAATTTACTGAAAATCACACGAAATCAAAGTAAGGGCAGTAAGTGCCATGCCCGTTTAGAATCGATTATCATTATCATTTCTTTATTATTATATTAATCTCTCTTTCTCTATTTAAACATAGGGTAACAGAATATTAGCAGGGATTTAGGGTGGGATTACTAATGGGGATTTAGAGCGCTTGCAAAATCTGGCCCCAGGCGCAGAATACTCACGCGAAACAGCTCTGCTTATACGGTTTTACTTTTCCATTCAATCCTTGTCCTAATCCTGGCCTTTAATCATCGGCTGAGGCATAACTGCAGATAAATTAGTTACTAAGGGGGTATGGGTATTATTTGTTCATGTTTATCAAACATGAACAGATAATTAATTTTAATTTAAAATAATTTATTAACTATTAGCTATTCTATAGCTTAGTTAAATTAATAACTGTTACAGCCTCTAGTAATATGAGGGTGGATATTTAAAAAAATGATAATAAAGTTAAGGACCAAATAAAAAAAAAGAATGAAATTAATATTTTACTAATGTACCTTTACACATATAATCGACAGATAAATAGTTACTGAATGGTTCACAGTACAATCCTAGATCAGCTTTAATTTTACAAGATTCTTTTCCCTCACACCTGAAATAATAGGGACGATAAAATCAACAATAAATAGAGATAACGTATGCTATATTATTCATTTATATATATAAATTCTTCATAACAGGGAATTCTTCAAAGAAAGATTACAAACTATCACGGCTGGAAATATATGCGAATTCCTCGGGTAGGATGCAAATCTAAAAATACGCAAATGCAAGGAAAATATGGCAAATCCATGTCATTAAAAGAAAGTATCATAAGCATCAGGAAGGAATACTTCCAGCAGCTTATCAATAAGGGCACCCCACAAACAAAGACATGGACCCTATGGGGAAATTGATCCACCGTTTGAAAAACCAGACATGCTGTATAGCATGACATGGCAATAGCTATCGGCAGGCTTAAAAGAAGAAAGGCTCCAATGATAGACGATCTACCATCAGAATTGTTCAAGGATGGGGGAGAACACCTCAGAGCAAGCTGTTAGATTTAATCCAGAAAATATGGAAAGAGGAACGGATACGATAAGCCTGGAACACAGGGTTGATCTGTCCTATCCTTCAGAAGGATTTCATTTGCTAATCCTTCATTCCTCGTATATTTGATGAAGAATTTTAAATCCTTTATCTGTTTTAACTATTAATGTTTTTTTTTCAGTGTGGTGATTTCATAATTTAGTTGAGACGAATTCTTATAATGTAGGAATCTGTATCATTCCGTCATCACATACGACGAATTCATCTGAATGATCGAAGCCACTGGGCGACTCGGCAGCATTTGGATTTTCAATGTTTCTACTTGGAGGGTCTGAGCCAGAAGGATTATGATCAGAAGAAACTTAAACAGTTGAGAAACAGTCCTTCATCTTTCAAGTCTGCAACAGGAAGATTATTGGGGTTAAAGCTCAAATTATGAATTCGTTTGTCGATTTCTTCATTCAATTATTGTGCGTATTTGTTATCCGCCAGGCATTTATTTTGATTGGTACCTTCAATGATAGTGGATTTTCCTGAACCATTTTTCTTTTCATTTGACTTTTTTATTTCTTTTTACCTTTAGCTGTTTTAAATTTAACATTAGATTGTTTGCTCTTTTGATGTTTCGCATTCTTATTATTGGAACTGGGTTTTCTAATGAAAATGTTCTCTGGTTATTCAGAGATATCTTCTCTTTGTTTATTCACTTTATTTATGCGTTTTCTTTACATTTTTCTATGTTTGTTTTTATATCTTTTCTGGTATTTCGTTATATTTTTGAACCGAATATTCCTGGACTTCTGGATTTTCATTGCAGTTCTCCCTACAGATTCCAAATGTTATTTCGTTCGGTCTTAATTTTAAATCTTGATTCATGGAATTGTTATGGGCAATTGTTGTTAATTCTAGCTTTTCTTCTTCTGACGCGGGGAATTGAGTGTTTATTATCTTGATTAAATCAATCAACGCCTTACAAATCCAACCAACTCCTTTCACCTGAGTTATCATGGTAGCATGAATGTTATTATGGCCAAAGATTAATTAATGGGTAAGATAAATTGCCATGCCCAACAAGTTTACCATAGAAAATTATTCATATCAAAAATCATTATTTATTTATACTTTTTAGGTCATTATATTCTCAAATTAATATACCTAAAATGCCATTGTAGCACTGTAACTATGCCATTTATGAGTGTGAATGATGTGGCAGTATACAGTAGGCGCTTACGGCAGTACCGCTTTTCCCCCGGTTAAGTGCATTTTCTAAGAAATCAAACATTTTAAAAATGAATCACTAATTTAGAAAAAGAAATGTATTGTCTATAGATAGATAAATAGATAGAGAAGAACTTTATTCTGGGACTAAGTCCCTATAGAATAAAAAAATTGTACAAAAAGAATTAAATACTACTTGAATAAAAGTTTGAAACAATAGTCTATATATTTTATTCTATATGTTTTATTTCAGAGCCTTTTTTCTTTGTTATTGTCAATTTAATTACAAACACTGCTTGATTTTCTACTTTAGTTTAAACGAGTTTGAAAAACTGACGTTTTATTGCCGCAGGCAATTATTTAAAAATATTTTTTATTGTTTTAATTATATCCGACTATCTAGTATTGCCAAAAGGCCAATTTATGACGAATTTAAGCCAAATGCTGAATCTCAGTGAATAGAAAATTAACTCAAGATAAATTCCTCAATCCATTATCTTTCGACACCATTTTAAGACATCGCAATGAGGTTTTTTTTTCTTCGTGGTAACACTGCATTTTCTTTTTAAGTAGTTACGATATGCAATTTATAAGGAGTGGAAAGGGGAGGAGTGGAAAGTACATGTAGGAGGGTCTGGCCCTCAGATTACTATCTTCAACTCAGAACTCTTTAACTCTTACGTGTCTGATCTCTGTTCATTTCATAGTATGTGGTGGACTACAGTTTTTTTTTTACAAGAAAAACTGATTTGTATACCTATAGATTATCCAAAGGGTAACCTTGTAATTACTTTGAAATACTGATACATGATTTTCTAATGATCGGCATATACAGGTAATGCCATGTAAAATATAAAATTTCATAAGTTTTATCTGTCTGTTACTTTATGTTACTGCTACTTTAGCATAGTAATACTGTGGTAACATTTGTGGCGAATAATTGTTTTTGAGAATTACTATTTGAATAGTCCGTTTAAATTTATGGATAAATTCTAGTTTAGTGCACTTGAAAAGTCTTATTTTTAAGAATTTATCGACAATGCAAAATTAGCGTTGTCCAGGGTTTTCTTGGAAGGGGTATTTCTGCTAACTAGTTTTATCACATATATTAAAGTACAGCACTGTTAGACAATATGTTTAACATTCTCAATTCAAATCTCTCATTTGCTTAAATTTTAGTTAATAGTAGCTGTTTTGTGTGAGAACTATTGTGCTCAATTGCTAACTTCCAGGTGCACTCGACCCATTCCATTCCAGATATTCACAGAGGCATCAACTGAAGCAGATTGGAGGGTCCTCTCAGATACGTAAGAAGTCTATGCCACCATAAAAGGGTTACTATATTTTATACAATTCATTTAAAACCTACCACTTCATCAAAATACAGTCTACTGCCAAAATAAGTCGAATATTGCCTATGTTAAACTCATTAAATTTATTTGCCTTTATTTTAATTAAATTTGGAAAGTTGTAGAAAGAGTAGCCATAGAAAAAAGTAACTGAAAGCAATTAAGATTTTTACCTGTTTATAAGGATTGAGGTTTTGTTTAAAGAGAGACAGTGTTCTTTTTCCTCTCGCACTCCATAATGTTCACTGCAAATATACGGATGTGATCTACCGTAAAATGCTTCGGTAATATGAATTGTTTTTCTATTTTGGCATTTTATTTTCATTGTATCATTTTGGCAGGTTCTTTTGTTTATTATTTCAGTTTCACCTAAAAATGTATTTCTTTAATTCTATAAAAACTACAGAGTTTATTACTGAAACATTGCATTTTATTAAATTTCTTATTATAAGTTAATTATTTTTTCAATATACAGCAAATCGTTGCATTGGAGACTTCTCTTCAACACACACTCAATATCTGAGAGAGGACTGGCTGCTGTGCAAAAGGAAGATTGTGTGCTTACTTTGAGCTTAAGTGAATTGTTACGCAAGTTGGTTGCCTTAACAGTAACTTCGACGGAAGAATCTGTACTATTTTACTCACACTTTAACCTATATGAAATAGTGATCAATCTCTTTGACTTACAAGCTGACATGGTCAGCTTATGCACTAATCGCCAGACTAATTTTCATGACGTTTCAGATGATGGTGACTCCTCTATGAGCTTCTCATTAGAGTCTCAATCGTATAGGAGCAATGGATTTAATCAAACCACTCTATGTCCTTGCCAAAAAAGGCACCAAGATGGTAATGCCTCACCACGCATGTTTACCAACAATGCGAAAATCATAGTCTACAGTACTCTTTCCAGTGAAAATGTTCGTACTCCATCACATTTCAGCCGCGTAATAGGTTCTTGCTTTATAGAACCTCTTGACTGAAGTTGGTACACATCCAAACAAGAAAGTGTATTTTGGTTTGGGACACTGATTCTAATAATGTAGATGTACAATTGTTGTGTCCTTTGTCTGGAAGAAAACAATTATTACAAAATTAAGTAATAAATAAAAATAATGAATTATAGACAAAGTCGATATCACGGTTTTAAAACTATAATTAAGAAACATTAAGTATAATCAAAAATTTTTAAAATTCATTTGATGATTATCATTAAGAGCGATTTTTATTTTTCATATTAAGTGATAAAAATCATTGATCATTAGTTTTTAACAAAATTTTTATAATTAACAATAATAATAATTATTGAGTTATACTGTTTTAAATCAGGAATTAAATCTAACCAACTATTCTTCAATATTTTCTTTCTGACAGATCTTTCTCTGTTTGCCAAGGTACAGAACTATCTACTATTAAACCAGCCTTAGCAGGAGTGCCTCAGGGGTCAGTACTCGCTCCTCTGTTGTATATTATTTACACATATGATATTCCAGATCCTGTCAATACTCTGACATACGCAGACGATACAACAAACTTGATTGTTTTTCGATAGAATGATCTAGATCTTGAGATTATGTTGAATTTTGATTTCTTGTCAAGATTGTTGTTTAAACAAAAATTAAACATTTCCTAGGACCGAATCAATATAAAAAAAGCGTTTTTGTGAATGAAAATTAAAGAAAAATAGTTACTAATAATAGAAGAGAAAATTGATTGGGGGGTAAAGTAAAAAAATAAATAAATAATATTTATTTTTATGTTTGCTGACGTTTCGGCCCAGAGTTGATCACTGGAAAAATCCTTCAAGACTTATACGATTTTCTTGGCTTTTTTGGACCAAGGTCTGCTGAAAACGTACAACATTGACCGTATCTTCCGATTAAATGTTAATAGGTTTTAAAGTCAGCTTTTCAGAATTTTGCTACCCGCAAAATCCGCTAATTGTTTAATTCGCCCCAGCCTAAACTTAAGTCAAAAAAATAAATTATGTTTTACCTTCAACGCATGAGTAATCAATTACCATATACTTTTTTAAATTCGGACACGGATCGCCAAAATATTCTGTATTTAGGCGTAAAGTACATCTTCTTGTATAGTCACATCTGAAACCCAAATAGTGTGAAATTAATTATTGTTTAAATATTAAATTTCTAGGAATTAAGGGGGAAACAATATTTTAATGATACTATTGGTAAAGTAGATGATATTATTATTCTGTGATTCTCGTGGCCTCCGTTTTTTTTTTATTTTAAAGTTTTGAATATGAATTATTTTTTATTATATGCGAATTTTCTTATGGACCTTCTATTAGAATCACAAGTAAGTTGATACTTTTTTTACTGCGGTCACAATTTCTTTGAAAATTACTTTTCCTCATTAAGGAATTGTTATTGACTATAAAATATAAATGTATTTTAATCAGAGTTGGCATATTGCCCTCGCAATTACAGATACAGAATACTCCTTATGAAAATCTTCATGAATACCGATTATAATTGTATTTGATACTAGTATTTGCCAACGAATACCAAATACTACTTGTATTTGTACATATGATTCCGAATCCTTTCTGAAATTGCCTATATTATCCACAGTGTGGTAAAAAAAAGTTCGAATTATTAAAAAAAGTATTTAGAATAAATCGATATGGCATTGTATAAAATATCGATATGAGAGTATAGAATCTCAAAATTTGTATTTTCAAAATTTATACCTCCAATAAGATATTGTCGGGCATTGATATCGAGGATATCCGATAGTATAAAATAAATCGATACTTTTGCTGACGTGGAATCTAAAAAATCCATATTATTGAAGTAAAAACTTTTTAGGCGAGTTTCGTAGTTTTTCGTGGAGAGTGAATTAGATTGAGCCTTTAAATTTCCGATGTACAACGTTCGGTTAAAGTCTGCTGGAGTCGACTAATTTAAGTTTGTTTGCATATGGATTAAAATATCTCAGAAATATGAATCGGACCTGTATACTTTAAGCGATAGAATTTTTTTTTTTCATTTTGTATCACATGGGAATTTAGTGATCTTTTATATAATCATGGGCATAACCAAGTGAAAAGTGTGTATTTTTTTTTTGTTATTCGCAAATAAAGTTTGTTTTCTTTCATAACTTGTTTGGATGAATTTTCGGGGTGATTGGAATATTTTACCCTCCTGAAGGAGAAGGAAGCCTTCGAAATTGGTGACTCAATCTTGAGATTTGGTGAGAAATTAACGATGATATGGCTTACCGATCAAAAACACCATCGATAAATAATATAAACTCCTCCTCTCTCGATCATAGAAACTTCAAGTCGACGAAACGACGAAATGAGACATGTATTCAATGACAGTACTACAATGAATGTAAGGTTGTGTGGATGAGAACCCTATGCCTTGCGTTATCTCGAAAATAGTACGTTTTTGGGCTTAAAACGCAGGATCCGATAGTTTCGAAAGAAATATCCGGGTGTTGCTGTGACAAACAAAATCTTCAAGATCCAATTTATCCCGTATCGATCTACAGACCTACCACCGTTCCAGTATTGAAGCCTAGCAAAATGTTTGTATCGACTCTATTTATTTTAGAAAGAAAAACAAAAGTGGAGAATACGATTCCCTAACCCCCCGTGAAATTTTGAATCCAACGGTACCCCATTCATGGTATTTTTTAGCATGACAGGAGCTTATATTTGGTACAAAACCGATTTCGAGCCTTACTGTAATAATATATGTGGGGATAAATCGACAGGGAACCACAGAATCCTAAAATTGATTTTATTTTTTCAACTATGCCTCTCATAACATTCCACGGACCTTAATATGGAAAAAAAAAATCAGGTAAGTTTAAATAGATCGATAAGCGAGTGCGAATCAAAAAATCCACACAGTGTGCAAAATACTATCCTCCCCCCTCCCCCGTTACCATTTCTCTAATTTTAGTACAATAGTACAATTAGAAAAAAAAAAATATCACTTTATTTTAAGACTATTTCAGGTATGATCTGAGGATTCACCGTATAAACGTGTAAGACATAATAAGCATTCAAAATTCTATCTAATTGTGATAAATTTAAACGCGTTTTATTCTACTATTTAATTTTAAAGTTATTTTTTTTAATTATCAGAAATTGTAATCGTCGGAATGAGAACAGAAAGTGATATTAATCATAATTACTTTAAAAGAGCATTGGTGTAAAAATGAATACCAAATACTGAGTAGTAGCTGTATTCGCCTTAAAATGCATGATCATTACAGACACAGCATTCGAATGAAACTGAATACTGAATTTATTATTTAATTAATTTTTTATCAGAATTAACCCTTTTTCTAAAGTCCTTTATATGTTGTATCAAAGTTGATTTTTACATAAGACATCAGGCCATAAAACATCATGAATATCAATTCCCAATATTTTTATAATTCATAAATTAGAAAAGAATAGAAAAATAATATTTAAAAAAATAGTGATGAAGTAAAAAACCTAAATAGAAAGGTACATTAAAAAAAATCCTTCATTACATTCACTTTGTAACAACGCATAAAAATTAGAATATGAATTTATTTGAGTTTCTTAATTTTTTTTTAAGAAACTCATAAACGCCCGAGCGAATAATTTAAAAAAAGTATTGGTAAATGAATAAATGTCAAAATAATTAGAAAATTAAATTATTCAACATATTATGATATGAAACAATCAGTTCCTATTTTTGTGGTATTTGTAATTGACGAAGGAAAAGATAATTAATATAACACTTCATTAATGTTTTAAACTGTAATGTTTACGAATTACAATTATCTACGTTCATCATAGAATCATCATTTATACGTTCATCATTTATCGAATTAAGTTTACATGTATTTCAGATAATAATTTTGATTTTTGGGTAATCAAGTAGTCTTTCGAAATAATCATGAGTACAATACAAAAATAAATTTTGGCAAATGGAGTTTATTTTCCTTCATAAACTTTTTCCTGATATTTCAGGGAAGTATGACTATTTTTCCCACCTGAAGGAGAAGATTTTAAAAATGAGTGGTCAATTATTGGATATTATGAAAGATTGACAAAGATATGGCGTACCAACAAAAACACCTTTGAGAAATAATATAGTTTAAAAGATTAAAATTTTGAATTATTTTTTTCTTTTATCGTTTTAACATTTGCCTTAATGATCAAACACTTCATTAATAAGCAGATAAACGACAATTTTGGGGAAAATCACCAGCGAACATTCCAACGAAATACAGCATGCTTGATTTGTTCGTTCTTATCCCTAGGAGGAGCACTCGTCGTTCCACTATGTGGTGTTTTATAGAAATGCATGTGTTTGTTTTCGTAGCTAGCATAAAGTGAATACCACTATGTGAATACCATAAAGCATTTCTCAGCCGGCAGCAGTCGCTGCCATGAGCAGTACCAGCGAAATAGTACCTTAAGATTGACTAAAATAAGACAGCAGATCCAAACTGTTGGTTACATGAATACATTTTTGAAAACAAAATTGTTCTTTATTTATATTGAGGACTGGTGTAATTGATGAATGTGTTTAAATATGTATACATTAAAAATAAGTTCTTTTAAATTATATTTTAATAAAAGAAGATAAGTGAAAAAAAAAGAAAAAGTTGCAAACCTTAGCTATCTCAAACTTGTCATTTTTTTTAAAAGTGTTGCCAATCTCGGTTACATTTTATAAAAGTAGATATAACATTCAAATTAGTTAATTAATTCTTATATTATTTATTTAATAATTTACTTAACTTTACACCTAAAATTAATTAATTAAATATTTTTATATTTTTTAAAAATTCCTACCCAGCACTGACTTGGTCCAGAATAGTCTCTGATGAACACTGCGTATCGGAGATCCCGTAGTTACAATAGTCATGTTTTGATCTTCCATATAATACAGACCTGATGAATATCAATGACTCTGCTGGACAACTAAAGTCTGAGAATTGCTCCCAACAAACAATAACTCTTTTTACGATATTAGCTAAAAATAAATATATATATTAATTACACTTGAAACCGAATTTCAGTGCAATTAAATTGTTTTTATTTTTTATTGCTAGCTTTAAATTAAGCTTATTCTAGAAGTAAATACTGTAAATAAGTATGACTGTTAGTTTTGTATTCGTTCTTTTTTTTTTCTGTATTATTTCACTATATGCTGTATATCTTGTTTTTACTAAAATTTTTATTTTTGTTATATATATGCACATTATTATCTTTTATAAATCTATTTTTATGTATTTCATTTCTTTTATTTTATTATATTGTAAATATGGTATGAATGTACCTTACAGCTTTAATAATCAGAACCCTTAAGTGTGGTAAAATGTATTATACCTCAATAAAGATATAAAGTTCAAAAAAATAAAGAAAAAAAACTCAAGAAGTAAATTCGATTCATGAAGAGGACACTCTTTAAATACTAGTTTTATTTTTCTCAACATTGTACGTTTTGGGGTTTCGCAATTATATGTACGAAATTGTATTTTCTTTATTTTTAGAGCTTACAATTTTATCTGTGTTCAAAACGTAATAAATATTAAAATCTTGAAATCAACAGTGAACTAAAATAACTGTGAAACGTTCAACTGAATTAATAAACTAAGTAGTAATAGTGAAAAAAAAATGTTTTTTTCTAACATCTGAAGCTATGAAGCAGCATTTCATTAATTATATAATTAATGAGGCTAATTACATCACCTAAAAAAGTCGACTATAAACAATAAAAAATATCCAAATTGATTTTTATTTTGCCAATAAAATTTTATAGTAATTTTTATTTCACCAGCAAATTAATTCTAGGCATAAAAAAGTTTTAGACTTTTACTCACATTGTACACAAGTATATTTCACTGCTAAATACTTCTCAATATACCTACAAGGGTCCGCAAATTCCTTGACATTAGCCATTATTTTACAAGAAAACTTACCATGGCATCTGTAAATTGAAAACATAATGGATTACAGAACTTATATTTGCATTTTGTATTGTTATCCATTTTAGAATGTTTTCAAACCGATGGTTACAATAATTGTAGATTGAATTGTAATTGAATCGGTGAGTGCAGAAACCACTTCAGTCACAGATTTCAAACTTTTTCAGGAGAGAGAAAAAAGGTCATAACTCTTCCAAATTTTTCAATATTTGATCTTTTTTTTTTTCCTCTGTCATAACATGCATTTATGTTACTGTAATGCAAAAATTACCTAATTTAGACATAAATTAGGCTCAGGAAAATTTAAAATTTGAGTCGGACTTATGCTGTTTCTGCACTCAACTGTTTTTTACTGACAGCTGAAAATTTGGAAAAAGGTAACCAATCATTAACAGTTTATGTTTTTTAATTAACAATTTATTTTATAACAATTTTTATTTATTTTACAATTTAATTAGATCAATCTAATAGGGCGATGGATCCTACAAAAAAATGGTTGAGGATTTATATCATGTACAAACAATACGAGTGATAATTAATATTGTAAAACGAAGAATATAATACTATATATAAAACTAAAATGGTAATATAGTAAATATTTTTTTAAATATATATATATATATATATATATATATATATATATATATATATATATATATATATATATATATATATATATATATATAAGTTATGGTTAGATGTAAGTTTATATAAGAGTTAATCCTAGTCAATAGTTGTAAACAAACCGTAATGCTATATATATAGCATTACGGAGAGAATAAAGTCAGTCTAGTTTGAGCAACCACGTGTTTTATTTCGAGCCTTCTTTCTTTTTTTTATCTTTCTTAGTTCGAACCGACGTAAGTTGTATATATATATATATATATATTATTAATAAGAGTATCCATTAATAAGGTTGTGTGAAAATATTTGCATTCGCTTCTGTAAATTTAAGCGTATTCATTTTAATAAACGTGAATACTGTCGTATTCACTTTTACATGTGTAAATGCAATGGCTAGGGAATTTACATTGTTTATAAACATTGCGAGTGATAATAAACGTAACATAATACATTGTCACATAATTAACATAACATATTGTAAAAAGAAGAATATAATATTATTTACAAAAATAAAATTATACATATAGTAAATATATTTTTTTAAATAAATAATTTAATGAATATATATTTTTTTAATAAATAAGATTATTCATTAAGAATTTTATGTGGAATTATTTCTATTCACTTCTGTAAATTTAAGCGTATTCATTTTGATAAATGTCAATAAGTATTCGCTTTTACTAGTCTAAATACAGCCGTATTCACTTTTACAATTGTGAATATGGCTATATTTGTATTTACAGACATGAATACGTATTATCTGTATTCATATTTATTTTTATGAGAATAAATATATTTATATTTATATTCATAAGTATGATAAACATAAATTGTATTCGCATTTATATTTTGAATATAAATGTACCCATCTCGCAGGCATGCGAGTGCAGAAACCAAATTATTCATTGACCCATGTTATTTCTGCGCTCAACGATGGAAAAAGACGTCATGTATTTACGGAACTACTCAACAGACTAATGTGGTTCTTACACCTCAACACGCATCTTGCCTTTCTAAGCTGCTTTTCATTGAAAACAATTTTTCGCATTTTTTTTTTTACTGAAGTGGTTTCTGCACTCACCTATTTCATTCTACTCTATCTCGAGTAGAAGTTTTTTCAAAACAAATTAACTAATATTACAAATGATAATTTAAATGTAGATATAAACCAACGACAATTATTGTAAGGAAATATTTTAATTTAAAAAAAAAATGATTACAGAAATCGGGAAATTCTTTACCCCATAAGGGAATATACATCTATATCGATATAAACCCCTAGTTCAAATATTTAGGGAACTGATGTGTGCAATTATGTAATCTTGGTTTAAAATTTGGGTTCCTTCCATTACACATTACGATTCCTGGAAAATTAGATTTAGAGTTCGTTCGGGTCTGGAAGTAAAAATCGTATTTTAACTTTTAGTGAGTTAATCAAAATACATTTTATACAATAATTAATTCGTGTTATGAGCCCAAATTACACACTCAAGGGATCAATAACACTCCTGGGATCTCAGCGAATATCTAGAATCATCGAACTTAAAATTCGGTCCAGCCGTTTCGTCAAAATATCGTTAGATAACGTTTAGCGAATAAATCAAAGCATATTATGTAATAATTTCTTTTGGTATTGACCCCAAATAGTTTACAAACATCCACTGAATAATTTAAGATATCAAGCATAAAAGTCTTTCAAGTCTTCCCAAAAATGTCGTGTACATTTTAGCAGGTAACCCAAAGTAAATCTCCATGCAGCTTCACCGTTGCAGCTTAGTAAAATACTATATTATTTTACTATTTATTTTTAGTGTTTCTAGCTAATAATAAATTTTAAATTATTCCGCCATGTTTCTCTGGAAATTTCATTTAAATTCATCAATTTACTTATTTACTTATCAACCCATGTACTTGTCTTCTATTTAATAATATAAAATTAGATGTAATTAACTACATACGATATTATTCATTATTTTTCCCCTCGATTATCTTCTATGGATTAGATATATTAGGCATATACACATATACATATTTTTTTACGGTCGTAATACTTTTTATCTATTTATGGGTAAGCCCAAAAACCAAAAATAGTAACAACTAAATTGCAAGCTCCTGCTTTTGTAAAACTTTGTGTCACATAAATCATAACCTCCTAAGAAGGAAATCTGTCAGAAATCAACATTTCAATCTATCCCTAAACAAGTCACCCCATCTAACGAAACCGCATTTCAGCCCAGTCAAGGCTTAGTCACAGTGACTACAGGTGAGTTAGTCACAACTTACCTAGAAATCAAGAGGAACCACGCGTAACTTCAAAGCATCATCCTATACATGTGGAATATGTTCAAAATTATAACACTTTGTCAAAGCTTGGCATCCGAAGTAGGTCCTCGAGGATTTTAAAATCCTACTATCACTTCAAGAGCTCTTCAAAATCACCTCCACGACCTTGAAAAATAGTTCCACAAATGGAAAATCAAAATAAATGGCAGCAAGTCAACTCAGGATGGCAGGATGGCAGCTTCACCCTGAGGATGATTTCTTTGCTGTGACAATAGACAAGCCAGTTCCTTCAAAAACCCATGTACAGAATCTTGGACTATACTTGGACAAACATGGAACATACACACAAAATTAAAAAAAAAAAAAAAAAAAGCAATTGATCAAACGATAAAAACAACTGTCACATATTTTGAACTGTAGGTCTCGACTCAAGTAACAAAACAAGCGACTAATCTACACCACCTTACTAACACCTATTAGGACATACAGAACTTTGGTGTTCCGCAAAACACACATACATAAAAGAAATTTAAACCAAACAATTCAAAATACTGTGATCAATTGTCAATACTCCTGAGTTTATTTCAAGTGAAACCATACACAAAGACCCGAATTTACCAAAAGTAATATCCTATATACACTAAATTTCATTCTTCTACTCTCAATCATCCAAACCCACTTACAGTCTCTTTTGTGCGCCCTGTTATTTGAGGCTCAACAACGAAAAAAAGTCTGTGGCCTAGTAATCTCCTGCAGACAGTGTAAACAAGGATCAAGAATAAAACACATTTCTTATTGCATTCCAATGCAGTGGCAAATTTAATGTAAAATAAATAAATAAAAAATCAGCTTGTTTTTTAGTTCTTTCAATTACTTATACTTACCTGTCTCTCACCCTCTTATAAGTATCACCTATGCCTGAACAGTTTTTCTCTATGTCAAGGAATTTTCCACAGGTGGTTTTGTCAAATCTGCCCCAGTCAGCATCTATAATATTTATAACCAACCCGTCATCGCATTTTAAATGCATCACTTCATTTTCACATGTAATAAGCGTCGAATCTTTGACTACAGAAAAAAAAATAGATTAAAGAACTGTGCAATTTTAGTTTACAGTCTCAATTTTGCAAAATTTACCTCTTTTCATTCTCTCTGATATCGGGATGCAATTCAAAGGTACTTTCCATTTTTCGGAGCATAAACTTGTTATATAATGACCAGAAGGAGGGATGACTGGAAATATATTTCAACAGGTTGCTGTAATGTTTTATTTATTCATTTTTTTCTTCATTTCATAGTTTTAAATATCAAATCTGTTTTGAAATACATAAATGAAATATATAAAACTGTTTTAAAAAAAATAATTGAAAATGTTTTGTTTTTTTAAAATTAGTATATATCGCTACTGTTAGTGAAAAGGTCTCAGGTACCCAGCCACGTTGACTGTTTATAACAGAGTTATTATGGGCATCCTGAGGTATGCGTCCCCTGCGTGGAGTCATCTTCTCTCGCATCAACAGAAGAAGAGGTTGGCAACAATCCAGCGGATAGCTCTGCTGCGGGTCACTAGATTGTACCGGATAGTGTCTCATGAGGCGGTACAGGTCTTAGCCGGAACTACTGCTATTGATCTTTTCCTATATGAAAAATACTTTCGGGACAAGATAAAGAGGGTAAGCCTGGTGGATCTACTGGCGAATTTCCCTGTAAAGATCAGTGAAGACCCAAATAGTAAATAAAATGGAAGAGCGTTCTTCGGGAGAACACATTTAAAGAATGGAACCATCGGTGGGTGACAACGCCATAAGGGGCTACCCTAAGAACATACTTCCCCAATGTTAGTTCAAGAATGGAACAGACATGGGTTCTCCTGGACTACTGGGTCTCACACTTCCTCACAGGGCATGGGGGTTTCCGAGCAAAGCTCGTTGAATATGGTAAGAACATTGATCCCCTATGCCCAAGTGCAGAGTGCCGGAGACCGCCGAGCATATCTTTCCTTGTCTGTACCGCCTTTGAGGCACTGAGGGCTAAGTTGTTGAGGGAGATGGGGCTTTACTCTCTGATGGAGGGCGATCTCCCTCAACTACTGATAAAGGATAAATATCCGTACTCCAAGGCCTTCGTATATGGGTGGAAGGAACTCGTCGGTTCAACTCGTCCCCCTTTTCCTTCACCCACGAAAGAAGAGTTGGACCTGCATCCGGAAGACCAACAGAGAGGGTGAAAAGAAGAAAGAGCAGGCTGTGTGCACAGCTGAAAAAAAAATGTAATTGGTCTGAATGCAGCAGTGTGTTGTAACACATGCGTTGCTACTCACTGCTGCATAATAACCGTATTCCCTTACCGGCAGGGTAGGGTTCAAATAAAATAATAGTGGACTAATGGTTGACTGTCGTAAATAATGAAGAGAAGGATGGTTGGGGGGTTCAGTCAGAAATATATAATTTTTAATATGCCAACCTCTTTATTTTGCCTTCTTATTTCTGACTGATCACCCCAACCATCCTTCTGTTTAATAAAATAATAATATGGAAAATAACAAATGACAATAAAATATGAAATTAAACTGAAAATCATTTTTAAAAAAAATTATTTTTTATGCTTTTCTGTAGAAAAACTCAATGTGTACATAAGACCTTTAGCATTAGCAGTAGTGGTTTACTTGGACTTACTTTATTACCTTAATTATATTATTATTTGTACATATTTATATATATATATTACATGTATCTTTTTTTAAATATATATACATAACTGGAAAGGTTATGTGTAATGTACCCCATCGCAACATAAAAAAAAAAAAATCAATTTATTGCTGATTAACCAACATTCTTTACTTTACAGACATCCATTTTCTTCTTATGATTATTTATTTATACATCCTTTCCTTTTTCCTTTTTTTCTCTTTCCTATCGCGTCTAGGTAAATTTAAAATTAATCCTTGAGTGGTGAAATCCAATATTATCATAATATGCCAACCTCTTTTTTAAAATTTCGATGTTTTGACTACATGAACCAAAATATGAATTTATAGATCATTGAAAAAAACAACTAAGACGTAACAATGATCCTAGTATTTTTAATATACTAAGGAAAAATAGTTTAAAATTTTCAAGTTCAGGAAATTTTGCAAACTTTGAAACCTGTATCTCAAAAATTATTATATTTACTGAGGCTGCCAAATTACGAGAAACATTAAATAGGTTTTAATAAATGTATGTTTTTCTCTTTTATATTCTTTATGCTCAATTCGTAAAATCCATACATCCGTACAGCATTATATTTACTTTTTTTAATAGTTCATTTTTTTAATAGAAATTCAAAATAATTTAAAAATTGGGAATGATTTTTAATTGGATGGTACCTACTGGATATAAATTCATGTTATTTATTCTGTAATTTATTTAATAAGTAAACAAAATAAGATGAAATCGTTAATAATACGATGAGATGATTAACCAATAGCTCTTACTAAAACTATATATCTATTTCTTGTACATACTACTTAATTGAGGTTCCCCATATTGACTATGAACTGGATAAACGATCTCTCTTTTCTCATCTATATCACCCATTAACGATTTCTTCTCTTCTGAACGAGTAAAAGTATCCTAAAAAAATGCATACATATTTATTAGAAAAATAAAAATAAAATGTGTTTCTTATAATAATACTCTATTTTAAATCATTATTTTTTTTTAATGCTCTATATAACATCTTACTCAAGATTTTTTATTTGTTGACTTAAAAAAAAATATTTGCATCTGTAAAGTATTACAATTAGCAATGATATTACAATGAGCTGATATAAACCATACATCCCACTTTGAATACGGTTGGTTGGCGTATGAAGGACTGTCTGGAGATGAAGCTGAAGAGACTCATGAATTGCTTCATAATATTTATCTTTGGGATACCCAGACGTTCCCATGTTCCCTTCTTACAAACCTAGTTGAGTACGTGAAGTGGCTCTGTCCTGCTTCCCGATGGCAAATCTTCGTAGCATTTTCCTTTTCTAAGTTCTCATAACCAAAAATCCTCCCTACATACTAAAATTTCTTACTTTACGTTTCTCTATTTACTCTCTTAATATCAGATTTCAACCTATAGATCAATATATTCTCTCCCATCAAATCACTTCCTATAGCAAATCTTTCGTCATTTGTGCTACCTCCTTTTGGAATTCTTTACCTATCTCCATAAGAACTATTTTATTTATATTAATTTATTTTTTCTTTGTATTTTTGTATATATTTGTGTTATTTCTGCATGCCAGACTGATGTCCATTTTTTTATAATACTGCTATTATTCTAAGGGGAGTTTAGAACCAGAGTAAAATAATTTTTCATTTCATTCCATACATGGCATGGGTAGGCATGTGTGTGACAGCACCAAGGGACGCATCCTGACATTTAGAAGTTTTTTGTCACACTAGGAGGTGTTTCATTTAACTTCATTTCAGTTTTCTCCGTAAGGTACATCAGAAATGTCATTTGTTGATATTTATCAAGTAGTTTTGTTTATATTTCCATGTAATTTGTCATGAAACCGTTTGTAATATATATGATTGGGAGATGTAGCAGATGGAATGCATAAGTTGATATGAAGGCTCTCATTATTTATCAGTCATAAAAATTAAAATTTAAATGTTTTTGATTAGTTTGAATAGTAAATTTATGTATTTTGTAGAATAAATGTAAATAAGTATAAATATTAAATTTTTGCGTGAGGGATAATTTAGAACATATAGGTATTAACGAATATAATTGATTTAATTAGTTGCATTTGTTTTTGGTGTTGGATTATTATATATGTAATCTATTTCAGCCATGTTTTATGTCTTAGTGTAAATGTGACCTGTTGTTATTTTCAACGGTTTAGCTATATTTTCTATTTCTTACACCATTTATGTATATTGTCTAGGTTTTGTTTTAATTCAAGAGACACCTACAATAGGATCTGTATTTCTTATAATAATAGCAGCGTCTCCGGAAGAATTCGCATTTATTTTACAGTTGTCCATAGGTTGGTCGTATGTCTGTATTAATTATAAAAGAGAAGCTAAGATAGAATCTTGAGAAAATATTGCAGAGATTGGTGAGGTCACCGTACTTTGTCGGTCAGAGAAGCAGTTGTAGAGAAATGATTGTAAAAATAAATAGTAAGCATTTGCAAGAATGGATTTAATTTAAAAAGAAAACCATAGTGTCATACCCTCACAAACGCTTTTTATTTATTTATTTATTTTTTTGGAATGAAGTGTGTAAAATCCAAATTTGTAATCCGATAAGAACTGCTCTATCAGTTTATTACGGATACTTTCATGTTATAATTTTCCCAAAATTTTGAAGCATACTGGAAAAAGAGTAATAAGTCTATAAGAATCTGGTCTATACCTGTCTTTGTTGTTCTTTGGTATCATCAAAATTTTAGCGAATTTTCATTGAATGAGAAATTCAGGTGTTATTTTACTATATTGGTTATATACTTTCTAATTGTCATGCAACTATTATCATATCATGCCATACCTTTTTCTTCCTTTTTCTATTTCAAAAGTATACATGATTGGAACAGTGTTCGTGTTCTCCGTATCATATTATTATTTTTGTCTGTTATAATTATTATATCATTATTATACAATAAAAAAATAAATTTAAGTATGGAACAGAATGGAAATACAATAACTTTAATATTTAAAGAAAAAAAAAACTAAAACTATAATATCTGTTATGTTATAGTGCATAAAACACTGATTCTGACTCACCAATATTTTATACACTGTAATAAATAATCAAAGGTTTTCCACGTTTTTATCTAATTTCCAATTTATGGTATACATGAGTCTTATATAGTTTCAATAAGTAATGCCTTCAGGTTTGGGAAAATGTATTATTTCTCGATAAAATAAAAATATTTAAAAAAAATACCAATTGTATTTTCGGTTTAAAAATATTCATTTATTTTAGTAGTAATAATTATAATATGTATATTGAAAAAAAAATCATTGTTTATTATAATTTGTTAAATAATTAGCAAAATATTTGTCACCTTATGGCTATCACTGTCCTCTTCCTCGTTACTAAACTTAATATTTCTCAGCAGATTCTTAGGCTCTGTCATATTGGACCTGGCATACTCTGATAATTTACCAGATATTAAGAAAAGAACCAACATAAATCGTTTCATTGTTGGTGTTCTGTAAAACTGCAATGAACCTAAAGGATTAACTAAGGAAATCCTAGATATGTGTGCCCTTATGCGGGAAAGAGATCAACTGTAAGAGGAGATTACAACAATAGTCCCATGATTCATCACCTAAGTCTATTATTTTTTTTAATAGATAAATTTTAACGACCTAGTAAAACGAATTGAAGTATAAAAGTTATTTGAAAGCTATTCTATAAAAGAAAAAAATTAAAACAAATGTCTTTATTCAATGAAATCATAGATAAAAAACAGATTTTTTGCGATCATCTATAACAATTAAGCAAAATATGGGTGATAATTATTCAGGATGCAGTCATTATACATTTTTTTTATTTGTGCCGACCTATCAACCCAAACATGTAGGTTATCATCAGGGCTGAAAATTTTAAAATGTAATCAGAGATATAATATCATACGACTGACTGATAATGGTGAATAATTAACTATAGTGATTGATGGAACATGAATCTCAACTATTATTACAATACACAATATTAAAAATGAAATATGTAAAAAGTTATACAAACTAAAAATAATGTATATAATCCTTTTATACAATTTTTTTTATATTTTCTTTTACTAACCGTGGTTCGAGGACTGAAGGCTTTCAAGTGCTGACATATTTGGTAGATAAGTGAAAGGGTCGGGGGAGGATTTCCCAGTTGTCCTTTTTCAGATAGCAAAAGGTAGGTAAACATAATCAGAGGGAGATAATATTTTTTTTTAAGAATGTAAATAATTAGGTGACTAAATATTTAAGGTGTGTACAAGATTTAGATTGTTTCTTATGGTTACAGAATTGTGACTAAGGGCTAGTAATGAAATGAACTTAGGCAAGAGATGTCAATCGATATAAAAATAACATAGTTTGATTGAAGGTATATAATAGCTAGCCAAATAATATTTATAATAAAGACAATTGTAGTGGATTGAAATGATAAGTAGGACAATATATTATGCAATATTTTAAAAATAACAATTTAATCAAAATAGAAATATACACTACATTAAGGAATACATAGTTTTAATAGTATAAGTATAAACATATCTGTCTGTTTATAGTATATATTTATATTGAGAATGGACTCAATTTTCAATATAAAAATATATATACTATAAACAGGTACAGTTATGTACTTTCTACATATTTCATTTGTAATATTTGTATTGTAATATTAGTTAAGATTCATGTAACAGCAATCACCACATTTTTTTCATTATTAACCATTATTAGTAGTATAATATTATATCTCTGATTGTACTTAAAAATTATCAGCCCTGATGATGACCCACATGTTTGGGTTGAAATGTCGGCACTAATAAAAATCTTGCAATGACTATGTCCTGATTTTATCACTTTTTTATTACACAATATTTATCACCCATAAAAATACTATGTTAGAGTTAGAAACAGTGGAGGGTAGGATGGAACCACCACTCCCTCTCCTCAGCCCAGTTGTCTCCAGGCTGTTATCCAGGATGCATCGTTGTCTGCCGGTTCCAGAAAGTTATAGAGTAAAAGGAAAATCATCTTCAATTGAATTCATATTAGGAGAGGAAGAATCGGGAGCAGTATACGTTCTGAGCTATCAGAGAGACAGTATCAATAAGCTGTAGTAGATAGTATTAATTTAATTTTTTTTTTTATTATTTATAAATAGGGCAAATGACCAGTTATGGACACCCTTAAGCCAATTTTTTTTGTTATCAACACCTAACACGTTATTGATCCTTTTTTAAATCGCTTGATAATATAATTTTGTTACTCGTAGTGCAAAGAATAATTACCTGTCCTTACCCAACCACAAAATGATTTTGTTATATGTTTTACAATTTCTTAAATTTAAGACTGTTCTATTCGATGAGTTATGGACACCTCTACTAGTTATGGACACCTTGAAAACTAGTTATGAACACCCCTTAACTTATCTTTATATCTATTGAAAAATACAAAGTTTTATAAAAATTATGAAACTACTTCCACTAAATCTTTCACAAATATTTTTTATTTTGTTTTTCTAATTTTTTAAATATTTTGTATACTAGATTTATCAAATAAATAAAGTATAAATAAACAATAATACACTTTATTTATATAGAGATCTAAAATTAATAAAATTAAACTCTATTTTAGGTATTATACAGTTTTTAACTAGTTGCTTTATAGTACTTTCAACATTTCTCTCCTCTGTTTTTGTATACCTTCTTTTTTCTGTTCCTATCGTTTGTCATAAAATTTATTCTTTCTTGGAGATCCTTATCTTTCTCACTCACAAATGCACTAGATGCAGTTACAGAATCAAAAGTGTGCTGTGAAATTAGAGCATATGTCTTAAGAAACTCATGAAGGCATCCTTCTTTCTGCAAATTATTTTTAAATTTGTTGACTCTCTTTTTTTGTATTATTGCTCCTTTAGCACTCACAGTAAGTCAATCTTACACGTATAAAATCCTTTTCTCACACATTCCAGGATCCATTTCACAGGAATTTTCTCTCATTCCTGAGTCAAGGCTGTATCAGTACAAAATGTCTCTCTTCTTGTCCCTTTTAATATCCTAATTAGTGTTGCTATAGGAATCTGACATTTGAATGAAACAGATTTCACAGACAACTTTGATGTCCTCTATAGCTAGAGTGACTTTCTCTTCATCGCAAGTATTTGAGTTACGTGGCATGATTTATAATATGAATAAATGATGATAGAAAACATTGATATAAAAATAAAAAAAATATTAATTTCTGCACATTAACTCACTGAATAATTAACTATATTCATTACAAACAACATATCAAAACTTCTGTAATTTATTTTTATTTTAAATTTGTTTATTACTTGAGGTTTGTCCATAACTAGTTGAGTCATATGTTGATTTTGACACCCCTGACCATAACTGATAATCATCAACTTATTAAACTTTGGATTATAGCAAAATATTCAGGCGTAAAAATGCAATATTTTCTAATTAAAACCTGACAATTAAAATTACAATTACTTATGGACAGGGTTATTCATAACTAGTTGTACCACTTTTTCTTTAACTAGTAATGAACACATTAATTTAAATAAAATAAAAAATGTTTTAACGGGAATAATTAATTATGAATACATAAAAAAAACAATGTAGAATATGTAAATATCTTCAAACTTGTAAAATAATTAATCCGACCGGAGCAATACTATTCAGAAACTAATTTCATGACCAAGGCTGAGAAAAAAAAAGAAAAGAAATAAACCAAGGCTGCAACTAAAAAAATTGGTGTTTTTTGTTTTTCGTTTGGTGTTTTGTTGGAATTATTTTGACTTATGAAACACTTGAAATGATCCAAAGCTGCAGACAAGAAATAAAGGAGAGAAAGGGTGGTGGTTGGGTTAACAATGGGGCATAGTAATCAACAAACATCTGTTTCAAGTTTACCTGGTGCTTATTGTTAACAATAAAAATAAAAATTAAGGGTGTTTATAACTGGTAGTGGCCATAACTAGTCATTTACCCTATGTTCATTTATTAAATTAAATGAAGAGAAGAATAGTTGGGGTGGTCAGTCAAAAAGGAAGGCAAAAATAAATGATAATATTTATTTTTTACATATGCCGACGTTTCGACCTGAAGTTCAGGCCTTCATCAGGGCTAAGAAAATAACCAGATAACAAGGTATGAGAAACATAAGTAATGATGGTAAAAAAGATAATAAAAAATAAAAAAAAAAATAGAAAAATAAAATAGATAAATATAAAGTAAAATGAAATTGTTAGAATAATGACTAAGAACTAAGAGATAAATAATAAAAACAATTACAAAGTGTGGAATGATGAAGTAGGCATAATCAAAAAGGGTGACAAAAGTGTTACAATGGGAATCTTAGAATAAAATGTAAAGCATAAAAAAGAAATATGAAGTTATATAAGAAATGAAAATAAATAGTAAAATTAAAACATTGAGAATGGAGTAGTTAGATAGAAAATTGAGATATTGTAAAGATGTACAGACAATGTATAATATAATAAAGAGTTAAAAACAGAGTAAAGGAATGAAAGGAAGGAGGGAAGAAATTAAGAAAGCTGAAATAAGAAAGAAATAAAAGAAGTACTACCTGTCTCTTTAAGTGTCGCAGGGAGAATAAAAGTCGTTACAAGGGAGGGGGAGAGAGAAGAGATGTGTATATTATGTGTATAGATCTTGTTATCTGGTTATTTTCTTAGCCCTGATGAAGGCCTGAACTTCAGGTGGAAACGTCGGCATATGTAAAAAATAAATATTATCATTTATTTTTGCCTTCCTTTTTGACTGACCACCCCAGCTATTCTTCTCTTCATTATCCACGACAGTCAACCAATTACCAATTATTAAATTGAATATTTATTGATGCTACTTATTTGATCCTTAGAAATTCACAGTCCACAAATCAGTTAAGCCATCAGTGTCAAATAAAATTTATCATAACATATAACAATTTTAATGAATTCAATATTTTTATTTAATTCATTTTTTAATAAAATTAGAACATTCGGATAGTCCTAAACAGGAACAGGAAATTTAATCATTATTTATTTATTAATTTAATAATAATAGTGTGTGTGTGTGTGTGTGGGGGGGGGATATTTGGAAATATTTTAACAAAGCAATTGAATTTATTAAATACTTTTATTTAATGCTTTGAAGGAGTGAGACGATCCATCAATTCTCTAATGCTTTGAGTTTGCCACGGAAAATATGATAAAACCTTCACATCAAAATATAAGAGTGTACATGAATGAATCATAAAATCCAAGGATTTGTTGGTACATATAATTAGCTTTTAATATAAAACTAAAATTTCATTAATAGGACCATAGAGTATTGTAAAATACCTGTTTACCTACTTCTAGCCTTAGCTTAGCGATCTGGTCGACTTTTCCTATTTTTAAAATTGATTTTAGTTTACATATTTAATTTGTTCATGTAGATCAATTGTAATTCTATTTTTGTTTTTGAAATTT